CTTAAAGTTACTACGACTTTAAGGATTACATTCTCATCACATGTTTTTGTTTGCTGATGATTGGGAGATTAAGTGGATTTAAATGTATATTTTTGGTAGATAAAATTTTTGGTAGATAAAAAGCTCGAAAAAGCTCGATCAAGATTCGAGCTTCAAGCTTTTTGCACAACTCTAATTTTTGGTCTTGATGATTAAAATTGAAAAGTTATTTTTAATTATACTAACTCTCTTAGCAGAAACATGATTTGCAGAAGCAGCTAAAATATTTTTAAAGTATTATTATCAAGTTGTTGATAAAAGCGAATTTTTATAAAAGTTATAACATTTTACAAAATCAATAACAAATTCTTTAACACAGTTAAGGGAGCGTTCACAAATGATGTCACGCAATTTTTCGGGATTTTAGACTTCCCCTACACTGTCACGCTACTTCATGCAATTTCACTTGCAAAAATACATCGTGTCACGTTTAATAGAGACCCCTCCCCTGCCCCCAAAAACGTGACATCATTACTTTTTTGAAAATAACTCGAAAAGTATAGGGTTTGGCGAAATGGTGTCTACAGCAAAGTTGTAGCTGAGGATGAGACGAGAAAAAAAGTCTCGAGTAGCAAGATTCCATATGGAATAGATTCGGAGATAATTGAGTCGGAATATCGATTTTTTTCCCAAAAAATAATAAAATATATATATATATATATATATATATATATATATATATATATATATATATATATATACAGTGGTTTTTCGAGAAATTGACAGTTTTATGTCTATAAATATGTTTTTGGGTGTATTTGGGTGAGATTATGTAAAAATAGTTGAAGTTACTTTTAATTCTTTGAAAATATTTTGATTTTTAGAGTTATTTTGGGATTTTTTAGTTTTTTTGACCACTTAAGAGCCTATAACTCTGAAATTTGACTTTTTATGAAAAAATGTTGTAGAGAAAAGTTGTTTTAATTTTTCTAAGCTATCGTAACATGCAAATAAAAATTTGAAAATTTGAAAAAATTGATTTTTCAAAATTTTGAAAGTACTGTAGTTTTTGTATTTTTTAACGAAAATGGCTGGTTAACGAACTTGGCCTTCATTTTTGCACCAACTTTAAGTGTGTTAAATTTAAAAACGATCGGATAAGTTTTTCAAGAGTTATCGTGGGAACAAAATTTTTGGTCTACAGACAGACAGACGGACAGACAGACGAACAGACAGACACCATCGCCGGACCATGTTTTTTGGGTTCAGGGGACCCCAAAACGTCCAGATTTCATGAAATTAGCGAAAGTCAATTTTCGACCAAAACTAATACTTTCTCATATGATGAGAATGTAAAAATCCGTCGAGGAGACTGCTCGGGGGTAGTGTTTACTTAATTGATCAAAATAAACAAGTCTTTTAGAATTTTTGAAAGCTGACAGTTAATTCGGATTCAGCGACCCTGAAAACCCCCTGCCTAACAAGTTTTAAGCGAATTTGATGAGTTTTTAAATAAGGGTCGGACATATTGGATCCGCTATTTTTAATTTTTAAAAACTGACATCAAATTCGTAGTCAGCGACCTATAAAATCCCTGATTAACGAATTTTAAGCGAATCCGATGAATTTTTCTGGAAGGTGTCCGCCATATTGGATCCACTATTTTAAATTTTTGAAAACTGACTTTAAATTTGTAATAAGCATCACCGTAAACCCCCGAGTTGCGAGTTTTAAGCGTATCCGATGAATTTTACAAAAAAGTGTCGGCCACATTAGATCCGCCATTTTGAATATTTGAAAACTGACTTTAAATTCGTAATCAGTGATACCGAAAACCCCTGAGTAACGAGTTTTAAGCAAATCCGATAATTTTTTCCAAAAGCTGTCAGCCATATTGGTTTTTTGGGGTTATATCAAAACCCTAATCTGATGGGGTTAAATGGACCTCATTCGGCGACCCAAAAAACATAAGGTACATCTAGTGAGACCTCCTGATCAGAACCAAAATTTTTTTTTGTGGCTGTGTAATTATACGTTATTTAAACATTGTTACATCCACAATGGAATAGAAGGTTCTTATGAATTTAATACTGTTACGTCTAAAAAATGAAATGCTCTCTATTTCCTATTTACAGGTTATAATTCTATCTCAAACTGTTTAACTGATCTAAGTTTAATGTGCATGATGAAAGCAAAGCCTCTGTGGAGTTATCCTGTGTCTTCTTAATAATAGTCATCGAACCTCATACAAAAGATGAATTGTGTGACACCCTTTTACTTGTACTGATTCTTTCGGTTTTTACTATCTTACAAACATAGAATTAGGTAACTTGGCCTTAGAAACGGCTGAAGAAAAAAGCTATCGACAGAGTTTCGGCAAAAAATGATCATTTTTTGTACCTCGAAATTACTCCTTATCGTTGCAGACAAAAATGATTTTATTGTTCAGTACCAGCTTGAAAGCAAAAAGCATTTCTAGATTGCGGGTAATGTTCATTTAAGTACAGCCACAACTCCTACTTATAAATTCCTACTCTATTTGTCTAAATTATAAATACAAATTTTAAGTATATTTATTTTACATAACAATTTTTTCCCAAAGATACCTATGTTTTCAGATATAAATTCGTCATTAATAGAGAAAAGTCCTGCAACATCTAGGGGAATAATAGCAAATAGAATATATTTCAGGGTAAATGACACTTACAAATTTTTTTACTTTAAGTAAAGCAACATTGTTTTAATTAATTTTTGAATGCTTAGAAAATAAACGAATATTTTATTTATTTTACAGAAACCTAAATCTTATCTTTATCAACAGAAGGGAAATGGCAAGGTAATGCTACTTTATTTACTTTAAGAGAATGTAGAGGTTATTGTTACAATCATATAGATTCTCATTCTCTTAGGAATAGAGATTTAAAGATTCTAACATCTTGTAACCTCAATTTTCCTACAGCTTATTCACATTTTTCAATTCTAAATGATAACGACATTTGGCCCAAAGACCGTCACCTTAGTTTTCAATTATCTGTTTTCGCTTCTTGGTGAACGTCACACTTACTGTATAGTTCATATTGAGTATATTTTAGTATTGAGCTATTTTTTGTTAACGTTACTTGTATATTCTCGTCTTCCTCCTCATACATATGATAAATATTAGAACAAATTAATTTTATTTTACTTAAAAACAAATAAAATAATGATAGCTTTTAAGTGCGCTAAGTAATAATAATTTAAGAATGGGGGTTCGATTATGTAATTTGAGTTCACTTTGATTTGTAATTCAAATTGATTTTGACATCAAATTCATTGTAATGTAGGGTAAATGTGGGTATTATCGAAGAATTTTGTATACGTCATACATCCAAGTGGTTTAAAAATTATAAATAAATGTATATGGCTTTGTTTTTTTTAAATGAATATTTAAGCTATCTTTTCTTTAAAAAAAATTGCCAACGTTATAGAAAATAGTTTTAATCGTTAAATAAATGATTAAATAGAAGACTCCTTTGCGTGTGTAATTTCGCGGGACTTGTAATGGCTTGAGGGTATTTTCGCGTGTCAAATATCGCGGATGAGTGTATTATCGCGTGGTAAATATCGCGGATAATTTATTTATTGCTTTTTGGATTTTTGTAATAGTTACTTAATTAAAATGTAGTAAATGTAAAAAATTAAAAGGAATAATAATATAGTTTTTAAAAATATAAATATAAATATAGCAAGAACTTGAATTAAACAAAATTTTAAGCATTATAATAAATGGACGAATTCAATAGTAAACTAGTATCACAAGAAGAAAGATACTTGGTTTTATTATAATAATTTAATTAGTCTCATAATATAAAATAATACTCTGATAAAATATTCTAAAGCAATTATTATCAAATATTTCTAACGTATAGTCAATGCTCATTTGACACTTTTGCTCCTTTTTTATAGCTATTAAAAATTTTTTCCTTAAATATACAGATCTCACTTACTTTAATTTTTTTATCTTTTCCATTACTCTTTATTTTCTTGCTTGTATTTTGTAACTGTTATAAGATTTACTAAAATTCTGAACGTTCAAATAAACGAAATTTTTATTGTGTCTAAATGTGTTTAACAGTTACTGTGCAAAGTGGAAAAACAATGTTAATTCAACATTTATTTAGTTGAAAATTAATTTTTTTATATACATACAAAGTACTTTTATTAAAATATAAATTAAAACAAGCGAAAATAATATCGGCTATAATTTCAACGTTTTAAACTTTAGAGACACACTGCTAACCTTACTTTCAAGGGTTATGATAGGAGCCGCGAAAATACCCACATGTTAAAAAAAAGATGTCTCCATTATCGTGACTGTAAATATTTAATAAAAATCAATTTTTTTAACTAAACAAATTTTTTTTATGAAGAATAACAATCAATTTATTAAAATCTAAAAAAAGAATCATCTCTTAGAGTTTTATAGAATATAAAAACAATAATTTTTGACACCACTGTAGAGTTGAATCTCAAACCAAGGTGAGCCATTTTGAACTTTTTTCAGACAACATATTTTAAAACTATTTTAATAAATTGATTAATAGAAAAATAATGAAAAATATGATGCATATTATAATGTCTTAGTTGTCAAGTTCAAGGAGTGATTTTTTAGTGTCAAAAATTTTTTATAATATTTGAAATATTTATTAAAATATAAAATACCGCGATAATACCCACTTTTACCCTAGAATTTCAATTAACTTTGGTGGCAAATTCATTTTGATTTCGAATAAGAATTGTCTTCAAACTGAATTTGGCGTCAAGATCAATTCGAAATCTAAATGAATTTGACATCAAAATCGATTGGAATTTTAAATCAAAATGCATTTGAAGTTAAAGTCAATTTGAAGTCTAAATCAAAATACATAATCGACCTCTAGTATTAAACTCACAGGAATTTATAATTCTTATCATACTTTAAAGGTGAAATTATCAAATAAATACAAAGTTTGGATAGATAAGGATGAGCATATTAGGCTTAAAACATATTTCAAAGAAGAACCAGAAAAGATGATAAGAGTGTTACTAGAAAAATTGCTTGGTGAAAAGATTTTGCCTTTTATGACCTGGGAAGTAGGTAAAAAAAACAGCCATTCCTGAGGAATTGAAAAAATCTATTTTTGGTGAGCGATAACTTTTCGATATTTTTTAATTTACCAAAAGTTTAATTCTGAAGAAAATTAATTTGATAGCTACAGTCTAGTTCATAGTTAGTCTATGAAAATCATAAGTTTAGCATTTGTCAATAGTTTTCAAAATTTGACATGAAAAAATATGTTTTTTAATAGATTTTGTCAATAAAAATGTAAATCCTGACCATAAAATGAATTACAATACCTACCGCACTTCAGCATTGAAAATTTTAAGAAACTTCAAAAAAAGATTTAACCAAGGTAACAATTCAAACAGTTTCCTGCTTTAAGAGTATTATTAAACTATATAAAACATTTAGTTTTAAGACTTATAGTGAACCAGATAAACTAATTTCGTTGAATATAATTTTCTTACACAGAAAATATTTTTAAAAATCTCATTAAAAATTAATAAAAGAATTAAAAAAATTATTGCAGGGAAAACTAAAACAAGAAGTCAGGAATTGAAGGTACATGCTACTTCTAGTTTTTTAACCTTTAAGAGGTACACATATTTTTTAATATACTGAAAATCTATAGAAGTAAAAAAAATATTTATTTTACAGACATCAAAATATCCATATCAAATTAACGAAACAAATAAGGTAACAATCTTTTCATTTCTGTTAGAGACGATTTCCAATAACTTGTTTTCTCCAATCAAATATTTGGCTAGTTTTGTTAATTGGTTGGTTAATTTGGTTAATTATAAATTAATAATTGTTATACCTGATTATAATTTCAACGTAACGTTGCTAGAAAGATTAGAAATTTTAAAAACTAATTTACAAACCAAAGATTGTTAACTACACGAATACTGATCTCGATACTGACAAATAAAAAATTGGTTTTGTTGATGACAAAATATTTCACCATTTATTGATATCAGGAAAATTATTACATTCACTGTAAAGAATATGAGTAAAAAGAGGTGCAAGTTGCATCTAGGTAGAAGGCATTTGTGCATAAATTTTTTATGGAAAATAGGCAAAAGATATTCAATGTCACGATTTTTCAAATAAACAGAAAGTTCTTTGAGAATAAAATCGCCGTTTACACAAGCAGAAGTAAGACCTATATTGTCCCAAAATTCCGAAAGACCGCAATGTTAAAAAAACTTGTTTTTTATTTGAGTCATACAACTAAGGTGTTTACTTACTTTAGACGCGCTAAAAAGGCTATTTTTGACATTTTTCAGATTTAAATTATAAATATCGACCTGTGAGGTTTTACACAAAAATACACTCTCGAAGTGCAAGAAAAAAGTTTTAATTTTTTTTAAATATTTATTTTTTATTTTAAACAATATTTTTTAAATATTCAAAAATTTTCGCCGTTAATGAAATTTTTGTCATGGATAGTCTAAAGTAAAAAATCCAAACGGTATTAAATTTAATATGTTCATTTAATAATAATTTATTAATTTGTTAAAACATATATATCACATTTAAAAAAATAATGCTTTTATTTAGAAAGTAAGGAAAATGCTGTTTATAGTAATTTTGATTTAATTTTAAATTAAGTAAAATACGATTTATATTAAATTTGTAATATAATGTAATATTGTATGAATTTAAATTCAAAATGTCATGCACAGTGATATAAAAGGATAAGTAGATTTTGCTATCACATTGATAGTTAAAAATTGCACAAGTTAAAGTTGTCAAACAAATATTGCTAATTTGTAAATCAGATGGAGAAATTACCGATTCGAATATATACTTTTTTATCCCTGCCCAAATTTTTTCAAAATGTATAATTAATATTATAGATACTTATATTTAATAATAATACTAAATTCTCAAGATTTTCTAATTCTTATTATACATTCAAGGTGCAATTATTGAAAGGATCTAAAATTTATATTGACAAAAATAAACTCATGTCGCTTAAAAATGAATTCACCGATAATGCAAGCATGATGATAAGCTTGTTATTAAATTATTTATTTGGTGAAGAGAATCTACCGTCCTTTGCTTGGACAGGAGCATATGGATATAAACCCATTCCTCAGGAATTGAAGAAATCCATTTTTGGTGAACGATAACTTTCTATTATTTTTTATTTAACCTAAGTTTAATTCCGAAAAAATTAATTTGGTAGTTAAAAGTATTAGGTTAACAGTACAGAACAATCGCAAGCTTAGTGTTTTTCAATTATTTACAAAATTTATATTAAAAAAATTTCTTTCAACAGAATTTGTAAATGAAAATGTGATTGACGAACAAAAAAAATCATACGAAAGTTACGAACATATAGTAAAATACCTGCTAAGAAGTAACAAAGTAAGATTTCAAAAAGGTAATATTACAAAAAGCATATGTTTAATTGAGCCTTCCCATTTGATAACTCGCCCGAAGCTTGAATGCACGCGTTAATACCAGTCAGGTTGCAGTTAGCATCTCAGGACCAAATACTGCTATTCCACTAGTATTAGAGCTTGTATCGGGTGAGTTACAGAATTGGAAACCTCAATTCTTGAATTCTTTATTTCCTGGTAGGAAAATAAATTCACGGTTGTTTCATATAATTTAATATAGATTTATATAATTTCACCACTTAAAAATTTTAAAAAATTATAAATTATTAATTAAAATGTATGAAGAAATTTAAAGAAATATTATTTCAGAAAAACTTAAAACATACAGACTGGAAAACAAGGTACAAATCGCTTCAAATTACTTTTAAACTTTAAGGACTGCGATTAATTTTTCATATATACTAAAAGCTATAAAATTTAAAATACACAATATTTCTTTTGCAGAAACTAATATATCCATATAAAAAAGAGGGGAAGAATAAGGTAACGTATCTTTTTGTTTCTTTTGAATGACGACTTTTAAAAATACGTTTTTTCCAATAAAACATTTGATTTGATATGTGATGTTAATTGGTTCGTTGATTAATTTAGTTAATTATAAAATTGCAAGAATGTTTATACCTCATTATACCTTCTAGGTTGAATTATTAAAAAATTCCAAAATTTGGTTACCTGAAAATAAATATAATTCATATGTAAAAAATTTTAAAAATGAGCCAATGAAATTGATAAGAATGTTATTGGGAAGCTTAATGGGAAAAGAGAATTTAAAATACTTGAGCTTCAAAGGACAATGTGGTTATGAACGCATACCTGAAAACGTGATAATAGCTATCCTTAGTGAGTATAAAAGAAGACGCAATATTAGTAGCAAGACCCAACTTTTTAAGAAGTAGTAAGGTAATACTTGTTCTCAAGACAGACCTCTACATCATCGCTCATTATGCGTACAGTTTTGTATATTCAAAAACAAAACTTCTTGCAAATGTATACTTTAGTTGACAAGATACTTTATTTACAGTACCGACGATAAGCAAATGAACACACCTTTTTTCATTATTGTAGTGTAACCCACACAGCACCGAAGATTTCCTGAAACTTGACAGGACCTCGCCCAACGAGGTTGAAAACGTTAAGGGCAAATTTAATTAAACATTGCCAGTGTGCACGTTCTGGAACTGATCTGTAACAGTTTATGAAAATAAAGAACAGTTAAAGAACGGTTCCGGAATTGTTCCGGAACGTGCACACTGGGTAAATATCCACATAAAAGGGATATTGAATATAAACTTTAATGGAAAATTATACTGCAAATATTGACTTGCGATCTTCAGACAATATTGGTTTATACGTTTACATTAGCAGACGAAAATTTTTAAAACTATGCAAATGTTCACATCGCAAATCAATATTTGCAGTATAATTTTCGCTGAAGGTTAATATTCAAAATTCCTTTTATGTGAACATTTAACTATCCACTAACTTTTCGATTTCTATCATAAAGAACTTTTAGTACATTTCTTACATATCTTTTGATATGATTAATTCATTCAAATTCAAAACGGAAGTGACAAAAAAACGTTTTGAAATACATTTTAACTCACAATCTGAAAAAGCACAATGAATGTTTGTTGGGCTGACCAACACCACTACAAAACTTAGATTTCATCGAAAAAAGAAGTTAGCAATAGTTTAAACCTATTACAATAATTGCCATTTGACAAATATGCGTGTTGCACAACTTCCCACTCTCCCCTACTTTCGTAAATAAAATCTTGTCTGGCACTGTCAAAATAAATTATTCATTAAGAGTATTAACAAAACCCAGTCTCACTAGACTTGATTGGCTTATACTTGGACAATCTTATACACTAAGCCAATAAAAATAAAGGTCTGGTTTTAAAAGCACTTGTGACTATGACAGCTGTAGATACGAGCAGCTAACTTCACTTGTATTGAGTATTTAGTTAAATATATGTACAGTAGGTTTCAATTATGCCTTATTAGTTTGAACGTGTCGCACTCATATGTTTCCATGGGAACATATGAGTGCGACACGTTTATACTAGGAAGTCATTTTTGAAACCTACTGTACAATAGAAATTAAATTCTATTTTATCTTTTTAGTTGGTTTTTTTGTTGTAAGGAAATGTTAATTAGGCTTAAAAAAATTAAAAAATAGTTATTTTTGAATCAAGAGCGCCCTTTTGCGCCTTTGATACAAACCTAATTTTTTGTTCTAACTGCATGAAAAGTATGGCATTGAGGGCAGGCGCAAAACTACAGCAATCGTGCATAAAAGAACTTTTGCGCCCGCTTGTGTGACGTCAGCGGGAGTAAAAGAAATTTGCGCCCGCTTCCCTGACCCCGGGCGAGAATCAGTTACTCTGCGCCCACCTTAAGTGGCCGAAATGACATACTTTTCGTGCAGGTAGGACAAAATAAATATTTGATTAGATTTCAGAAAAAAATAGAAAATTTCTACTTTTCCTTTTTTACTTTGAATGCTTTTAACGCTATAATAAAAATCGGGGTGTCCCCTTAATTGCAGACGGTACTGTATATTTTTTACTATTTTATATTTAGCGTTCTTAAGAACTATATTCTTAAGAACTATACAAAATTATATAAAATATGCAAAATTTCTTTTTTCAGAATTTGTAAACAAAAATGTAAAACGAAGGCATCAAGTGACAAATCTAAAATTACACAAAGCAGTAAATAAATTCCTTTGGAATATCCGCGCTAAAGCAAATGAAGGTAATGTAACAGTAAATAAAAATAAATTGTATATAAATTTATTTATAAATTAAAAATCAAAAGCATTTTTAAAAAATATGCAAAAGAAAAAAGTTATAATTATATATAAGTTGTCTTTTTGATGACTCAGAGACATAACCATCATTGTCCCCGAATTGTCCGCGGACAAAAAGGGACGTCTTATAGACGTGCCTGTGCCTACTGGGTATCTTATTATTACAAATGGACTCGAAAAGAAGAGGAAAAAATTAATAAAAAGGGTCAAAAGTATTCATTCACAGCCATGGTAAAACACTAAATCTCTGAAACACAAGAGAATATTCAAGCAATCACTAACAGTGAAATCCCCGACTTTCTTGAACATTTGTTTATTATTTCTAATCAACACGAGTTTTGTAAAAAAATAAAATCAAATCTTGATAGCAAAACTGCTGTTTTACACTCCGATTTTTTAGAAAACTACGCAACTAAATGCCACACAGAGGTTCAGACTTTACATTTTGTCACATCACGAGCATTGCTAACAATTCACATAAATGCATATTATATCTTGGATCTCGTTTCTCAAATAATTGATGTTGCAAAGTTTTGTACAATTTCTGAAAATGTTCGACGTACTGCGCCAGCAATTTTTGCTCACCTGAAACCATTGTTTCAAAAGTTGCAAGATTTAGGCATAAAAACGTTGCATATATTTAAAGACAGTCCTACTGGACAATACCGAAATAAAACAACTTTTGCTCTGCTCTGCAATTTTGCTAAAAAATTTGGTTTTGAAAAAGTTATTTGGAACTATTTTAAAAGTAGTCATGGAAAAGGACCTATAGATGGATTTGGAGCAACTTTGAAATCAAAAACCGATAGTAAAGTTGGACAAGGATTTGACATTACTAACGCGAAGAGTTTTATAAATTCTGTTAAAGAAGTAAAAATTGATATCTTGGAATAAAAATCTGACGAAATCGACGCAGTCGTGGAAGTTGTTTCTAATGCTGGTAAGTTGAAAGCTGCTACTGGTACTTTTAAAATTCATCAGGTTATTTAGAGATTTGATAACGAGAAGAATTTGTATTTAAGAAAGCGCAGCTGTGTTCACTGTAAAGATTCATCTCTGTGTAACAAATGTAATTTAGAAGCTTCAATTTATTGTCCACTTTTAGCCAATGAAGAAAATAAAGGTATGAAAAAACAACCATCGAAATCTGAAAAAAATTCAGCCTTGTCCCGCAAGAAAAGAAGTTTAGATGCACCGCTGAAGGAACAGCCAATCAAGAAATGAAAAAATAAATCTCTACTGATAGGTGACTGACTGGATTGCAATCAACGAAGAGGCCTCAGAATGGTATGTAGGAAAAATTAAAAACTTTGAAGAAATTGGCGACAAAAAAATATTCGTTGTGGATAATGTTATGTTGTCATCAGCTAAACCCTTTAAGCGAATGGAAAACGTAAAAGAAGAAAGAAAAGTTTTTCAAAGTGACCTTATTTTTCAAATTTAATCACCTAAGGAACTAAAAAAGCCAAAAGGTTTTTATTCTATTGCAGAAGATAATGCAATAGAAACAGTATTAAAAAAGTGATTTTTAAGTTATAAAAAAAGCAAAATGCTTTTTATTTTATTTCAGTATTAAAAAGTGATATTTTAGTTAATTAATATTAAAAAAGCCAAAAGGTTGATGCTGAAAATGACAATTGAAATGAAATGACCCAAATAAGGTGCAAAACATTTTTAAAAAATAGTTTTAGAGGTTTGTTGTATAGAAAAATCTCCTATGAAGAGATCCCTTTTGAATGTTTAGTTTACGTAAAACTGCCTGAAAACTATCACCTAAGATCATCATTTACCTAGATGCGGCAAGGATCCTGGTTTCAAGTGGAGTAACTAAAGAATTCCATTTGTAAGAGATGGACAAAAATATGTCCGTCTTTTTCTTTCAATGGTAATTTTCAGTTACTCCACTTGAAACCAGCACCATTGCCGGATCTAGGTAAATAATCTTAGGTGGCACTCTATTTTTTAACATAATTAAAAAAATTAAAAATTGAACAAAGAAAACAAGACGAAGGGAAAGATACTTTTTATAACTCAGTCATAAAAACGGCGTTTTTTGGTACTCCGGAGATAAGTGGAAAACTGCCTTTTCTTGAACAGAGCGTCATAAGAGCTCTTATTCGTACGGAGTGCAAATAAGACTACCCCACAGTACGAAAAAGAAAAATAATGTAACGACTGCGATGAACCAAGTGAGAAGGACAGCATGAGTCGACGTTTTTATCGAGAATAGTAGCACACAGACTACTGCAAAAACGCGTCGCGATAAACTCATTTGCGCAGGCGTAGATATATATAGCAATAGTTATGGACAGCACTTCCAACCTAAGATTCGCTAGAAATCTAAAAATCTCTATGATTTCGCTATCAATATTTGGAGCCTATGATTTGGAGATGGTTATTTGAGAACGGGGGGCTACGCCCCCCGAAGTGCCCTTCTCCTTGTAGGCCACACCAAAGGTTTTTCAACATTAATACTGAAATGAATTGTTTACCTTTAAATTGTCAATGAAAATTAATATTTTAAGTCGGTTTTTTGTGGTTTTTCTGGGTGTCTCGTGTTTAACGCCTTTTTTTATGACTTTTTTATTAAAAGTATCGTTCGTAACTTGCGTGAACTGCTTTTTGAATCTCGCGCAAGTTTTTGAATCTCGTTTCCGGCTCGGCGCCTCGCTTACAACTCGTTTCAAAAACGCCATCAGTCCACACTTGTTACGAAATGTACTATTATACTGTCACAAAGGACTTCTTCTATGAGGGTCATTTCTCCGAATACACCCTGCATTTGCCGAATTACAAATCGTTCTCCACATTGCACCGACTCCTGTATCCCTCCGGGTTATCTAGACACACAGCTCAGCATTTTAGACCGACTTTCTTTCAGTCATTAGTCGAAATAAAAAAGAATTTATACAAATATTTTAATAATAAATAATATAAATAAATTTTTTCGTCAGTCTATTTTAATGATTACATGCTTTTAAAATATTCAGGAAATTAAAGTTTAATAATTCTATCAAGCTAAATCATACCTTAATGCATTTGACTAATTTAATAATCATGAAAGTTAAATTATATGAAGTTATATTTATAGATTTATAGATAATACAAAATACATTATTTTCAGGTATGACCTTACAACCATCAGGCGATTCGGTTGACAATACTTTGAAGGTATATGCCATAAATATATTATTAGACTTTAAATTTTAAAAATAATTTCTTTGAATCTCTACTAGGTAGGGTGATGTCACCTTGAGTGGACCGCCTAAGCTTTTTTTCGAAAAAATTCTATATGAAAGCAAATTAATCACAGGTTTCTATTCCAAGCTTCCCAGTGGGCACGAAGACGAAAAACGTTCTTTAAACGTCTGTAGAACGTTTAATGTCTGCCAATTTATATTTTCAGAACGTCCGACTGTTCCAAAAATGTTTCGGAACATTCGGATGTTCTTTGAACGTAAATTGTCAGACATTAGGTATGGAGTCAAAAGTTCCAAAACAGAAGTTCCAATTCCGAAGGATCCAAATTATTATTTTCCCAAATGATATTTTTTCCAAAGTATTATTTTTCCAAAGGCCATTTTTACCAAAGTATTATTTTTCCAATAGTCGTTCTTTCCAAACATTGTTTTTTTTTATTTTTTAAATTTCAAATCAAAAATTTCATTCAACGTGTGCTCATTCTAAAATTATGTTGTGAAATTAGAAATTTTATTTAAACTATAAAATAGTGAACAGTGAAATTATATTAATTAAATTGTAAATTAGTAAAATTAGAAATTTTATTTAAACTATAAAATAGTGAACAGTGAAATTATATTAATTAAATTGTAAATTAGTAAAATTAGAAATTTTATTTAAACTATAAAATAGTGAACAGTGAAATTATATTAATTAAATTGTAAATTAGTAAAATTAGAAATTTTATTTAAACTATAAAATAGTGAACAGTGAAATTATATTAATTAAATTGTAAATTAGTAAAATTAGAAATTTTATTTAAACTATAAAATAGTGAACAGTGAAATTATATTAATTAAATTGTAAATTAGTAAAATTAAAAATTTTATTTAAACTATAAAATAGTGAACAGTGAAATTAAATTAAATTGTAAATTTTAATTATGGTAGAATTAATACAAGTCGGAAAAAAATTATTTACATATCGAAGGATTTCTGTATTACAAGCATTCAGATAGAAAAAATAATGTGAAATATTGGAGATGCCTTATTTTTTCAAACAACTCCAATACTTTTCACTTATTTAACAATTCAACACTTTTTATTTTGGAAATTTTTTTTGGAAATTTCACACTTTGGTAAATTTATATTTTGGACTTTGGAAAAATAAATTTTGGATCTTTTCATTTTGGAACTTTTTTCTTGGAATTTTTCGATTGGAACTTCCGTTTTGGAACTTTTGTACCCCAATCAGACATTAAACGTTCTACAGACGTTTAAAGAACGTTTTTTGTCTTTGTGCCCACTGGGTTTAGTTTAGATCCCTAGATAAGTGTTTATACCATAACGGCTTTGATTTTTTTATTTGCAAGAAAAAATTGACTTTAAAAAAAAGCTGATTTGTAAGGAATGAAAAAAGTGTAACCTTGAGGCGACCACTCCTAAAAAATTTCAAAAGTTATTCTAAATTCTTTAATGTATTTAATATTTCTGATATATTAAAACAAAATTTATGCCATTTATGTCATTTCGAAAATAGAATATAATCTGGTAGTAACTGATTTTTGGTATCGATTTAAGTCAACTTCTTCGGGGAAGTTAACCATTAATATCAAAAAAAGAAAATGCATTAAGAAGTAACGAAAGTTTCCAAGTCGATTCAAGTCATTTTAGCATTAGTTGAATTTCCTACCATTTTTGTAGGAATTTTTTTCTTGAATAAAAGTTTCATTTGTGCCAATTAGATGTGTGCAAAATTCAAATCGAGAGAAAATTCGATTCGATCCTGCCAATTCGAAGGTTCGAATTGCGAATTGCACAACTCGACTCGGTCAACTTTCAATTCGAATCGGCCAAGTCGAAATTCAAAGTTTCAAATTACGAATTGCTCGATTCGACTTGGTTAACTTTCGATTCGAAGTTTCGAATTGCACGAGTCGACTCGTTTATCTTTTGATTCGAATCGGACAATTCGAAGTTTCGACTTTCGAATTGCAAAACATACTACATACACATCATAGCACATTACATATCAATTTGAAATTCTAACTTCGATTTTCGAATTGGCCGACTTGATTCGAAAATCGAGTCGAGCAATTCGAAAGTCGGAACTTCGAATTTCGAATTGTCCGATTCGAATCGAAAGTTAACTGAGTCGAGTCGTGCAATTCGAAACTTTGAATTTGCCGATTCGAATCGAAAGTAGACCGATGCGAGTTGTGCAATTCGAAATGCCGATTTTCGAATCGAATTATCTCTAATTTGAATTTTCTGTTGTCGAATCAATTAATGTTCGGTTCGACTCGATTAAATGCACACATCTAGTGCCAATTCTTTAAAACTTTACGTTAAAGAATCAGTTTTTCAAGTAACAAAATATGAAAATGCATTTAGAGAAAACTGTTCAATTGGAATAAATTTATTTTATGATCAAAAATTTAAAATTGACTTAGAAAATGGTATTGAGCAGTTACAAAGTATAATTATGAAATTCTTTATAAGAAAGGAAGTGCTCACACAAAAGTTGACGTCTTATCGCGAATTCGAAGGGTTCAGATGACCACAGATGGTACAAATGACACGTTAGAACAGCAGAACGCGCTTACTACAAGTGTAAACAAGGAAAATTAGAACATGGAAATAAATACGCAAACACTAGACGACAATTCAATAATTGATAACGAAAATAAAAACGAAAATATGGAAATAGATTCACACACAGAAGAAAGTGATCATAAAATAATGAAAGATGAATTCAAAGTAATAAAGACTATAAAATTGATTACAGATACTAAAGCAGTAAAATGGATAAGAGATATACCTCAAACAAAAAATGATGACGCGAATAAAATGCAATTGAAAAGACACAAAATAGAACAAACCGAACAGTTAATCATAAGACGAGAATTTGGACTGACAAAGATAAAAGAAATTTGGATCACGAACGAAAAAAGAGAAGAAAATGACAAAATAAAAATTAGTCTTCAGGTGACAAATCAGTAATTAACAGAATTTTTAGAAAAAGAAACATGATTTATGTCAACGATTTAAAAAAATGAAAGAAATCAGAATAGCACAATTAAACGAAATACCTTAAACAGATAATAATTACGCGAATGAAATACGATTAAAGAGATGTAAAGTAGTACAAAGAAAAGGATAGTTAATTTTACGAGGAAAATTTAAAAGTACACAGATAAAAGAAATATTGATTACAAATAAAGAAACATAGCAGAAAACGAGGCATCAATAACATTATGACGAATCGAATATTCCATTAGGACTGAGTGATTAAACATTAAAAAAATACAGAGGAAACAATTATGACGAAATGAACCAATAAGATAATAATATGACGACTCGGATATTTAAGTAGGACTGAATGATAAAATATGAATCGCGATTATGACGAAATGGACCAATGAGATAATAACATTATGACGACTAGGATATTCAAGTAGGGCTGAACGATAAAATATGAATCAATAAAGGAACAAATATAACGAAATGAATCAAAAAGGTATTAAAAATATTATGACGCATAGGACATTCCCAGTGAACAAAAAACCATCATTGTTTTAAAAACGTTCCAAAAACGTTTTTAGAACGTTTCATGTCTGCGAAATAACGTCCCAAAAACGTTATATAGTTGTAAAACGTTTTAAAAGCAATGGAACGTTTTTGGGACGTTTTTTAGCAGACATGAAACGTTCTAAAAACGTTTTTGGAACGTTTTTAAAACAATGATGGTTTTTTGCCCACTGGGTTCCAGCTGGACTATATGATGGAATATAAATGAATAAAGGAAACAAATATAACAAAATGAATCAACACGATATCAAGAATATTACGACCAATAGGACATTCCAGTAGGACTATATGATAAAATAAGTCAATTTGAAGTCAATTTTTTTTCAAATAAAAAAAATCAAAGCTATTATGGTATAAATACTTATCTAGGGATCTAAACTAAAGCTTGGAATAGAAACCTCCGATTAATTTACTTTCATAAAGAATTTTTTCGAAAAAAAGCTTAGGCGGTCCACTCAAGGTGACATTACCTTATATTAAAAGCTTTAGAACTTATGCAATTATAAACAACAAATATAAGTATTTAAAAGGTTACATTTTAAGATTTTAAAGGTAACCGATTAGAAAATTTTTGATAAGGTGAAACATTACATAAAAAAACCAATAGTTAAAAAATCCCATGTTTTTCCCATGGGAAAAATAGGCGCTTACGGGAGAGGGTTAATCAAACTTAAAATTAATTTTTTTAGCGAATTTTTTTATAATTTTAGCCAAAGATTTGTTGTAGAGGGGGGCCAAAAGTTATTTTCAACCTGGTAAATAAGAGACACCCTAATAAATATAAATATTATTTTATTTACTTCGCAGCTGCCAGAAGAATATCCATATCAAAAGAAAGAAGAAGGAAAGGTAAGAACTCTTGTTTTTTGTGTTTAATTTCTAAAAAAATTGTTTCTTTTAAAAATGAATCTCTATGATATCTGCGAACGAAATAAGAAGAATTATTTTAAAATATTTATTACTTTTCTTTAACCATTAACACCTAAGCCACAAAAATTGCGGACGCCAATATGACGGATAATGTTCATGAAATGATCCGCAAGTACAACATTGTGCTAGAGTCTTTGAAAATGGCTTTAATCGGCTTCAAATCGTGACTCGAGGATTTTCGGAGTCGCTGATTACAATTTTGATGTCAGTTTTGAAAATTCAAAACGGCAGATCCAATACAACGAATGATATTTTTAAAAAGTCATCGAATTTACTTGAAACTCTAATAAAATTTTCTGAATCTTTAGTTATTTTTATATCACTCCAATAAATTTTGAGCTTCACTAATTTTCTTTTCTTTCAACTCTATCAAAGTGATATTTGGTAGTCCCTATACTGGGATTCTTTAAATAAGTGAGTAATTTCTAATCCAATGACTTTTATACCATTTTTTTAATATAAATAATTGACAATTTAGGATTTGAAAATTTAACCCTATATTTGTATTTTATTTATATAGATTTTTAGAGAATAGTTATTTTCGTATCAAGGGCGCAAAATAGGTGATTGTGACGATGACGAGATTAAGGAGACCCGCACCCGAAATTTCAACTATAACAGAATATAATTGAAAAAATTTGGTATATTTTTTTTCTGACACTATTTTGATTCAGAAATAAGGTAAACAAAAAAAAATTTCATGATTTTTTCGAAAATTAAAAAAAAAATTTTTTTGATTTTTTTTGTAACTTTTGACAAAATTAAAATTTTACAAAATCCATTCCCTTAATTGTACAGGGGGTTGTAAGGAACTCATTAAAACAAAAACCATTAAAAAATAATATAATTTGTGAAAGAAGAAGCATTTTTTATAAGTTTATGGTATAACATTATAAACCATAAATTTACAAAAAAATGCTGCTTCTTTCACAAATTATATTATTTTTTCATGGTTTTTGTTTTAATGAGTTTCTTACAACCCCCTGTACAATTAAGGGCATGGATTTTGTGAAACTTTAATTTTATTTTTTTGTAAATTTATGGTATAACATCGAAATGTTATACCATAAATTTACAAAAAATGCTTCTTCTTTCACAAATTCTATTATTTTTTAATGGTTTTTGTTTTAATGAGTTCCTTACAACCCCCTGTACAATTAAGGGCATGGATTTTGTAAAATTTTAATTTTGTCAAAAGTTACAAAAAAAAATCAAAAAAATTTTTTTTTAATTTTCGAAAAAATCATGAATTTTTTTTTGTTCACCTTATTTCTGAATCAAAATAGTGTCAGAAAAAAAATATACCAAATTTTTTCAATTATATTCTGTTATAGTTGAAATTTCGGGTGCGGGTCCCCCTAAGGGACCGAGGAGACGCAATTTCGCGCCCGAGGCGAAGCCGAGGTCCCGAAATCTCGCCTGAATCGTAATCACCTTTGCGCCCATGTTTCGAACATAATTTTTTGTCCAAACTGCATAGAAAGTATGTTATTGAGGGCACGAGCAGTGAATTTTTTTAAATGGTCATGGAAACCGATTTTTATGTGATCTAAATGTCTTAACATTTTTAATCGAGAGCATAGGCAAAATACTATTCTGACCAATCCGGGATAGTGTAAACAGGCGCAAAATATTTTGGGCTTGCTTACCCTACCCCCAGGCGGAAATGTGTTACTTTGCACCCGCTCTAAGTACCGGAAGTGACATACTTTTTATTTATTTTTATTAATTTCAGGAACAACTTCTTTCACCACTAAAAATAATTTACTGCTCGTGCCTTCAATGCCATACTTTCCATACAGTTCGGCCAAAAAACTATGTTCGCAACATCCAAAAATAACTATTTTAGAGAAAAAACTACAAACAACGTCAACTCAATCGACGGTCAATTAACAGAGATAATTGGAGTTATACTAAAATAATTGAAGATTCAGAAAATTTCAGCAGTTATATTGGATTCCATATAAATTATTTATATTGGATGCCAAAAACCCCTGAGTACCGAGTTTTAATATTTTGAGCTTTTGAGAGAATCCTCTGACCTTTTCCTACTGAAAATATAATGAAAAAGATATTTTTTTCTTTATAGCAATTAGAAAATTTGTAGAAAAGCTTGTCCCAAAAACATCAATCTTTAAATAACGATTTTTTTTGTAAAAACAAATGTCAGAAAATTAACAAATATATCATTCCAAAGCTTATAATATTCTACGTTAAATGATTCATTTGTTAAAGTTTTTAATCGATTATCGGAAGAGTAGTAAATGAAACACTTGTATCACTTGTGCAACGTTTCGGTGTCTTGGTTTGAGACCATCATCAGGCTACTTTATTTAAACAATGAAAATTAAAAATTAATTTTTACAAATAAAAAAGCAAGTACAAAAAAATAATTGAATAAATGAAAAATTATATACCTAGTCATTTATGAACTGGAGGTTGATAGACAGATTAATTTTCTCGACATGACATTAATAATAAATAATAACAATCTCATTACCAATTGGTTTCAAAAAACAATATCCTCCAATAGAGTTATTAATTATTTTTCTGGTCATCCAATTCAACAAAAAAGAAACATCATTTATAATTTAGTAGATAGAGCGATTTTATTGTCACATGATTCTTTTCATAAATGTAATACTAAAAAAGTTGTTCAGATTCTTCTTAAAAATGATTATCCATTGGATTTTGTTATTAAGCATGTAAAAATTAGATTATTTAAACAAAAATTAAGTAGTAACCAAAAGAAAAACGAAAAATCTACAATTTTTAGTCGCATTCCAAAAATTTGTATTCCTTTTAATAATAATTATGCAAAATTATCAAATATTCTAAAAGATTATAATTTATTATCAATTCCAATGGTTAATAAATCTTTAACTTTGGTTGTAAAATTAGGAAAAGACAGAACCAAAAAATGGAATCAAACTGGCATTGTTTATAAATTTGATTATAATAATTGTCCTGCGACTTACATTGGTGAATCAAAGCGGAGTTTGGAAAAGAGAATTAAAGAACTTAAGAATAAGAAAATCGAATCAGTTGTTAACGAACATCAATCTGTACATAATCATTCTTTCAATTTCCATGATGTTAAGATTTTAGATTTAGAGTCCAATTACAAAAAACGTTTAATTTCTGAAATGTTATATATAAAATGTAATGATTTTACAATTAATAAAAAAGAAGATATACAATTTCTAAGCAATACTTATTTTCCTTTACTAAGGAAACTGAAAGAATGATTATATTTCTATTATTTTGGTTAGAGTTCATTGGCTCCACGTGTTCGGTGTGTATTGTGTACGAACTGCCTCCTTCTGATTTTAGTCTTGTTTTGTCACTCGTAAGAAATGGCAGTGTTCAGTCTTAACGATATCTTATTTTTATTGAAGAATTTTAAGACGTGTTACAAATGTAACGAATTATTTGTTTTAACAATTTTTAAACTTTTTTAAAAAAATGAGTAGGTATCTAATTTTTCATTTATTCAATTATTTTTTTGTACTTGCTTTTTTATTTGTAAAAAATTAATTTTTAATTTTCATTGTTTAAATAAAGTGGCCTGATGATGGTGTCAAACCAAGACACCGAAACGTTGCACAAGTGATACAAGTGTTTCATTTACTACTCTTCCGATAATCGATTAAAAAACTTTAACAAATTACAACAACGGAAGAAAATAAACGATTATTACTTTAAATGATTCATAATTAAAAATTTTAATAAATTACACAATGAATAAAGCACTCGACAAAGACAAAAAAGGAAAAGACCCACAGACGTAGCACAGTGGGACACAATCACAAAATCCTGGTCAAAATATTAAAAGGTTTTTTAAATCAATTGTATCGTATTACTCGGGTTCATTAATTTTAAAAACTTCTCCACTAATTATTAATTCACAATCTAAATTTAAAAATAGACTGAAGATTGGTAACCAGGTACTATAACAACCTCCGAGTAACAGGTTTCGTGACAATCTCATAAATTTTTACATTTGCCATCAGTCATATTAGATCCGTAATTTCGAATTTTTAAAAACTAACATCAGATTCGTCATTAGCGAACCCTGAAACCCCCACGTGACAAGTTTCAGGTAAAACTAATCAATTAAAAAAAAATCGTTTGCCATATTGAATCCGCCATTTTGAAATTTTAAAAAATAACATCAGAATCGTCATCACCGATCCCTAAAACCACCGAGTGATAAGTTTCATGTAAAACTAAACAATTTTTAAAAGATCGTGCGACATATTGGATCCGCCATTTTGATTTTTTAAAACAGGGGCCCAATTCTTGAAACTATTCGAGAATTCTTGTCTGCGGTAAACATCGTGTAGTACATATCGCATGCGACTTTTATAACGTATTCTCTATACGTCACGAGTGATTTAACAATACCATTGATCATGTCGCATGCGATACCTAATGTCATAGTTTCAAGAATCAAATACGGTGTCATATTCGAAATCAGCGACCCCAAAAACTCCTAAAAAACAATTTTTAGTCGATTTTAAATTGTTTAAAAAATTTGTAATTTAGGGATGTAAAACAAGTGAAAAAAATTTCAGAGTATTATGACTCGTCGTTGAATAATAGTCAAACTAATTCATAAAGAAATTAAATTTTTTGAGATTGATTGTTTAATATTAGGTTAACAATAATATATTTTTTATAAAAACTCATATAAAGTCATTAAGGGGTTACATGGGTCAAAACGACCTGAAAACGTATGTTTTTTTAATAATTTTTTTTTCATAAAATAAATAAATTTTTTTATTTGAACACTTTGGTATCTGAAAGTACACTATTAAATGAGAAAGATATTAAAATTTTTATAAAAAATATTAAAAATCAGGCCCGTAGCAACAGTTTTTTTGGCCCCTTTAAAAAAAATTGCTTTTGCGGTGGTCAAGATATCTTTTGACTGCTTCATCTAAAATCAAAATACAAAAAATTTTCAGTTAGTGGGTGAATATATCTCGTGATTGAAAAAAGGGTTTTCAAAGAAATTGAAATTTGGATGTTTGACAGTGTCTTTTATCAAAAGTTAAAATTTTTAGAACCATTAAGACCATGTATAATCGGTTCTAATCAAAAAAAAAAATATTCCTTCGTTCAATCACGAGCTATACTGATCCACTAACAGAAAATATTTGGTTTTTTGATTTTCAATGAACCGGTCAGAAGATATCGTGACCACCGCTTTTTTGGAAGGGTTCTTAAAGAACCTGTAGGTACGGTCCTGATTTTAAATATTTTTTAACGAAATTTTTACAAGTTACTCTTTTAATAGTGTACTTTAAGATATAAAAACACTCAAATAAAAAAATTTATTTATTTTATGAAAAAAAAATTAAACAATCATACATTGTCCGGACGTTTTGACTCATGTAACCCCTTAAATTATATCCTTAGTGTTTATAAATAAAAACATATGGTTATTAATATCCAAATATGCCATAAAACAAAAAAAATGTAAAACAAAAAGTGGGACGTATACGTCGCACCGCTCCTCAAAGGGTTAACAAAAGCATATCCTAGGGACATCTTACAGATTTTGATGTCAATGAGTATATTTAATGAACATTTTTTATTTTTGTTTATACGTTAAAGGTGGAATTAACAACTGGATCAAATATTTGGATAGATGAGAAAAAACTTAAAATATTCACAACCAGCTTTAAAAATGACCCATTTGAGTTAACAAAAATTTTGTTGAAAAATTTACTTGGTAAAGAGAATTTACCGCATTTTGCATGGAATTTGAGGAGTAAATATGAGCAGATAGCTGAAAAAGTTAAATCTGCTATCATGAGTAAGTTTCACTTTAAAAAATCATTATTTAAAAGAGAAATGTAAAGTTGCTTTTTCAATTAAGTTAATAATTTGTAATGATCGTGATTTTTTATTGCCAAAAGAATAGCTCGCCGGATGGAGTCCGGGTATTTAGTTTAGTTAAATTTAGCAATTTAGTCTAAAAATCTTTATCAAAAACAATATTTAAGTTAAGGAACGTTTTATACTATGATTTAGAGTAAGGTGTAGTCATTAATAAGGCATTAATTAATCTAATCTAATCTAATCTGACACCGAGATCGAGCTGGATTTTCCTCAAGAGGGGAAAGTAAGCACCTAGGTTACAAAACCCATTGTACCAGACTCCAGTTCGCTCGTTTATAGCAACTTCTTAGAGTCCTGTTCTTCTCCAGAAGTCCAGTATCTCTTATATCGATAGGTTGCTCACCTGCTTAGGGTCAATAATTGCTTGACCCCAGCTAGATAGCCTGATCCTAGCTAACGCTGGGCATTCAGATAATATGTGAGTCGAAGTTTTGTTACTTTCCCCACACAGTCTGCACATAGGTGAAACTTGTCTGCCTATTTTATGCTGATGGTAGTTCAATAGTCCATGACCCGTAAGTAGACGAACTACGGTTCTAACTCTGATCTTATCGAGTTTTAGAAGATCGCTCGCTCGTCTCTTGTTGAGTGCTAACCCCAACAGAGTTTTCGCTTGCCTTACCACCCCAACGCTCGCCCAATACTTCTCATTTTCCTTTTCACCCCATCTTTCTATGGCTCCCTTAATTAAGCATGGCATTATTGCCACTGCTGGTTCAGGACCTATAAATTTCGTCTCGGAACCGGTTTTCGCCAAGACGTCTACTCTTTCATTACCCTTGATTCCCGAGTGACCCGGTACCTCAATCAATGAAAGTCTATTTGTTGAACCCAACTCATCTAGTACGCTGCGGCATTCCCAGACGAGTTTTGATTATATTGTGGGATTTTTCAGAGCCCCTAAGGCTGCTTGACTATCCACACAAATACTAATCCTCTTGCCCTTTGTTCCATTTCGGATGGATATTTGGGCGCAAGTTAACATCGCACAGACCTCTGCCTGCCAGACCGTGGCATGTTGTCCTAATGAATCAGCCACTTTAAAGCAGCCAGTTTTCTGATAAATTCCGAAGCCTGCACCGCAGTCCATCTTGGAGCCGTGTGTATACCAGACTTCGTCCCCAAGTGGAAAACCTTTCTTCCAGTCCATTCTGGAAGGTGTAATGATCTTAAAGCAGGGTTTAAATTTCACCCTCTTGATCATTCTATCTTGCACTATACTTAATTCTGGTATTGATAGAATTGAGCGTGGAAGCTTGGTGTGTATACTACCAACTTTCCACCTTCCCTGCGCAGTTAACCTGCTCATAGTAAGAGCCGCCTTTTTCACCGCGGCAATATGCAGAGGTACTTCGGCAAGCATGAATCCCAACGCAGCTGTTAGCGTGGTCCTCATTGCCCCCGTAATACCCCTGAAAATCATTGCCTGCAGTTGGCCTAGTTTCTCTTTAACCGTTATCAGTTGAGTCATAGACCACCAGACAACCACCGCGTGAAGAAACCTTGGTTTTAAGATCATCTGATAGAGCCAGTTGACCAAAGTAGGCCTTAGTCCCCACGATGACCCTATCGCCCTTCTACACGCCCAAAATGCGGTACAGAACCTGCTATACTGATATTCGAAATGTTCCCTCCAAACCAGCTTTTTATCCAGGATTACTCCCAGATACTTAGCCGATTCAGAAAAGGAAATCTCTTTTCCATAAAATATCGGTTTCTTCAAACTCGGTACTTTATATTTCCTTGTGAAAACTACTATATTCGTTTTCTCTGGGTTTACGGAAAGTCCAGTCAGATTGCACCAATCCTTGACAATCTTAAGTGCACGTTCCGTAAGTTCTAAGAGGGTCTCAATTGCATGTCCTCTTATAATTATGAGAAAATCATCCGCATAACTTTGCGTATAATATCCCTGGCTATTGAGGTTTCTAATTAACTCATCTGTCACTAAGCACCACAATAAAGGAGAAAGGACTCCTCCCTGTGGGCACCCTTTTGAGACAAGGCCTGTTACCTTAGCCTCACCATACTCCGCTTCCAGGGCCCTTTCGCGAAGCATGCTGTCGATCCACTTAACTAGCGGCTCGGGCACACCTCGCATCCTGGCTGCCCTACAGATAGCTTTGCTAGAGGTGTTAGGGAAGGCACCTTCGATATCAAGAAAGGTAACCACCGCATAGCCACCACTGCTAATTTGTCCCTCTATTCTGCCTACTGCCGAATGGAGGGCTGTTTCTACTGAGAAGCCCGCTCTATATGCATGCTGTCCCTGATGTAGGGGAGAATCTCTAAGACATTCCTGTCGAATAAAATTATCCACCAGTTTCTCTAACGTCTTTAAAATAAAGGAGGTTAGGCTGATTGGCCTGAAGTCCTTCGCCGCAGTATACCCTGAACGACCGGCCTTCGGAATAAACACAACCCTCGTCTTTTTCCAAGACTCCGGTGTATAACCAAGAGCTATACATGCTCTCATAATATTACACAGTGGTACTCTAATACAATCCAGTCTCTTTTGCAAAAGAACCGGATATATACCGTCCCACCTGAAGCCTTAAATGGTTTGAAAGTGCTTATTGCCCAATCAATCCCTTCCAGAGTTACGACCCTGGCTGCTAGTTTCCAGTGTTCCCGATATCCTCGGTTCCTACCTGGTCCTATGCCATAGCTGTTCTCCAAACCTTCTCTAAAGTCCGGGAAGTTTACTTCCATCAGGTGCTTTAGACACTTCCTTTTATCCTGGGCATACTGCCCATTAGGCAGCTTAATAGTAGTTAATTTTGCCAATGGGTCTCGAGCTAGTACTTTATGAAGTCTTAAAGCTTCTGGTACTCTCTCGATTCCTTAGCAAAAACTTCTCTAGCTGACACCCTTTGCCCTCTCTACTTCTTTCTTGTAAGAATCGCGAGCGGTATGATATTCATCCCATGCTCGCTGATGCCTACGTTTCTTGGCTTTATTAAAAAGCTTTCTTACTGTTTTCCTATGTTCCTCCAAACAGGGGGTCCACCATTTACCGCCCCCATTGAAGCCAATTTTCTTAACTACACAGTTCCTTTCAAAGGAACAGATAATAGAATCTCGCAGATATTCCGCTGCAATCTCTAACTCCTCCCTCGTTCCATAAGAAGTGGGGAAGCATGCCATGGAGGCCTTGAAGTCTTCACTATATGAAGCCCAGTCAGTACTCCTAGGATTACGTTCCCACTCCTGTTCCCGATCCTTCGATTCCAATCTAAACGTAGCTTGGTCTGCTCTCCCCTCGCCTCCCGAATATACCCTCCACGCGGATGTATCCACCCCGGTATTTTGTCTACCGAGGCTATTTAGCCATTCCCTAGATTCTGAGTCCAGGCACTCTACTAGGATCGCTCCCCTAGTGAGGCGAATCTCTTCGAAATGACGATAGGGTCAAACTTCGTCCCCCCAATCTCATCATGAATTGCTACCCTTAATTGGTCCAGATTAGCCAATGTCATCTGGACCCTCGGATAGCCTTCCGCTACGATCGCCCCGGCTAATGACGATCTAGTGATCTCCGCAAACGATAAGGTTCCCCCTTGTGGGCCCCTTATCTTTTTTGACGGCATTCTAGTATTAGGGGAAGCCTCATCCCAGTCCTGCCGTCTCTTCCCCGGCCCCCGACGCCCTCCCCCCCACTCCACTAGTGCTCTGAGAAGTGCCAGCGGTATTCGATTCGGTCCTCAGAGAGTCCCGAGCTCGCTCCCGCCTTCTTTTCCTCATTTCAGCCCCACTTGGTCTCTTGCCCTCAAGGACAAGGTTACCCGAGTGTTGCTGAACCCTATCTACTTGTTGCAAGGTTTGGTCCCCACCCCAGCTCCAAGCGTAGTCCCCATGCCAGCATTGTGATCCCCCGAAGAGGGCTCTACATTGCTCGCATGTTCCGGATTTTTGTTTTGTTTGTTTGTGTTAGTAGTATCTATTTTGGTCCCCCACGACGACGGGTCGTCCAGAGGACGGGCCCCTCCTGTAACACAACCGTTCCCGAACTTTACGAGAGCTAAGTAATGCCCAGCGATGGTCGTCCCCCGTCCAACCCCCCACGGAAGAACCCGACGGATTTGTTAACCCTAGTATCATTCATCCATGGACACGAGTTCATCACGGATTGGGTGGCAGAGACTCGCGCCTCAATCGCCATGGCACAGTCAACGTAACCATGGAAAGGTTTCTTTTTGGTCAGACTTCCACCAATAAGAAGTCTTCGGAATGGACCCGCGGTTAAGCCTCTGCCATCCCGTCTCACTGGATATCCCTCTAGATCTCCGTGCCCTGAGACACTGCCCAGCGAAACACAAAAGATTCGGTTTCCGTAGCGGCCGACCCATTTTGAAGGGTTCACCCCCCGGTCCCCACGAGAGATATCGAGAAGTAGCCTCCCACTGGGTAAAGCCCCTTGTGCGCCTCCCACCAACGGCAAGGTCTTGAAACCCCTAGGGAGGGAAGGCATTAATTAAACCTTCGTAAGAAAGTATATTTTAGTAATATATAAAATAACAAAAATATAACTAACAAAATAAATTTAGATTAACAAAATAAATTGAAGAAATACTAATAATAAAATATCGTTCGCTAGTTTACTATATGAGAACATTCCAGTAAATCAATTAAACATTTCAATAACTTTGACTCTAGTGAATTATATGGTTTACCGTTAAGCTAGTGATCGTTATAATCATATCTCTAGTATTTAACATTTCGAGTCTTACGTTACTTTACGTTAATTTACCGACATCTTAAATTTTAACCGATGTAAACTCTTATTTATTCGCGAGGGTAAACTCTAGAAATTATCCCTAGGCAACGGGACAGACGTAGGGTCGTGCACGCTAGGTCGACTTTTAATATCGAGATTGCTAGATACCGATTCTCTCTTTGGTATTCATGCCCAATGTTAGTGCGAATTGTGAAGGAAGGTTAAAATACAAGCTTCATCTTCCCCCAAGATGTACCTTGGGTCGAAGAATCTACCTAGTGCATCAACACTGTGGAGGTCGAGTTGCACCTCTTCACCACAGGGTTGGTTCACAATGGCGTAGACGGAAATTATGCACGTGGTCTTACATGGATGTACCCCTAGTCTGACCAAGTGCATAAGAGCGAAAACGATCGACGGAGTAACGAGGGGTGTTACTACTACACAGTTGTACCTGTGTCTCGAGTACAGCTCCTTCTAGGAATTTGTGCAAGCTAGCAGCCCCACTCGTACCTGAGATACCGCCTGCTTGCACTAGGTAGAAAAGAAGGAGAGAAAAGAAGGAGAGAGTTGTCGTCGATATTCCTCGGAGCAAGCCCCGAGTCAGTTCGACGGCGAACTGAGGAAATTGTCCGTGCGAGCAGAGTATATAGAAGTCTGGTCGCTAGCCAGGTAAGTCTCGCGGTGGGATGTGTGACGTAGGTGCGACGCGGCGGTGTGTTACTTTCTGACGATCGTCATTTGTTTCATCGAATTCAATACTTTCATCTTGGTAGCATTATTATTTTCGAATTAGTGTTAGTATTAGTGTTAGTGTCCGGCGATTATCTTTTGTTTTCTTGAATCAGATACTTGTCTTCTGAAAAAGTCATTAGAGCGTTAGTGTTATTGCATGTCAATCGTCATTTGATGTATTGATTCCGCTAGTTAGTTATTGTCAGAAATATTAGCATTCTATTCTCCATTTACGTGTCCGCCATATTGGATTTTCCATATTGGATTTTTAAAAGATAACCTCAGATTCGTACTCAGCCACCCTTAAAACCCCCATGTAACGAGTTTCAAGCGAATTCAGTCGATTTTTAAGTTTTATGTTCGCTATATTGGATCCGACATTTTGAAGTTTTGACAGATGACTGAATTCAGTCGATTAAAAAATTTTATGTCCGCCATATTGGATACGCCATTTAAAATTTTTAAAAACTGATACTAGATTCGTATTCAGCCACCCCAAGAACCCCTAAGTTACGATTTTTAATCGATTTCAGTCGATTTTAAATTTCATGTCCGCCATATTGGATCCGCCATTTAGAATTTTTAAATCAGTCAGTGAAGATAAGGTAAGGTGTCACCAACCAGTTAAGGTGGGATCATTGGAATATTTAATCATTAAAGATAAGATGTGCTCTCACCAACCAGTTAAGGTAGGATCATTGGAACATCCAATCAATAAATGAATCATTGATCGGATATTCCAATGATCTTATCTTAACTGGTTGCTATCCCTTAAACATATTTTTACTAATTGGAAATTTCCATGATCTTACCTAAACTGGTTGGTAAGAGCACATCTTATCTTTATTGATCCTACCTTAACTGGTTGGTGACACCTTGTCTTATCTTTACTGATTGTGAATTCCAATGATCCCACCTTAACTGGTTGGTGACACCTTGTCTTATCTTCACTGATTGTGAATTCCAATGATCCCACCTTAACTAGTTGGTGACACCTTGTCTTATCTTCACTGATTGTGAATTCCAATGATCCTACCTTAACTGGTTGGTAAGAGCACATCTTATCTTCATTGATTAGATATTCTAATGATCCTGCCTGAACTGTTTGGTGAGCGCATATCTTATCTATATTGATTAGATATTCCAATGATATTACCTTAACTAGTTGGAAAGAGCAAATCTCATCTTAGTTAATTAAATATTAAGATGATCCTACCTCAACTTGTTGCTGACCCCTCATCATTTCTTCACTGATTGGATATTTCAATCATCCTACCTGAACTTTTTGTTGAGCGCACATCTTATCTTCATTGATTGGATATTTCAATCATTTTACCTTTGACTGTAGATAATTAATAACTATTTTAGGATCTTTAAATTTCTTTTATGTATAAAAGATGAAAAGAACGATAGTTTTTTAAGGATTTATAATACTTAGAGAAATATTGTTTTTATTAAAAATGGTTCAGGAAAATAACAGATTTAATTTTTGATATTTAAGGATTTTGGCTTTTACCAACAAGGCTTTTATGGATCTTTGGATTTGAAGGGATGATGCGGGGGTGGTTTTTTGACATGTTTGAAGGTTTTTTTGTTATATGTTGGATGTCGCTGAAAAAGATTAAGACAAGATGAAAATGATGACTTGCAAGAAAGTAGCATTATCTCATACTTCAAATTATTTTAGTTGACTCAGTGAGGGTAGTTTTTTATTTAGGTAGAGTACAATTGTTTTTTATTATTTCTGTAGATATGATTTGAAGGAAATTTAAATGTTGAGTGAAAGTCCGCTTTTTTACAAAAATTATATGTAATTCAGGTTTTATTCACATATCTGATTTAGGGGTAGGTTTTTAACCCTTTCCCTATGGTATGCAACTTTTTAATGGTCATTTTCGGATTCAGCAGGGTGAAAGCTATTAAAAAATATTCTTTTTTTTTACTTTCCCCTTCTGGGCAGAATTTGACCTTTTTAAGCATCGTTCTTTAATCTGTTAACGGAGTAAATCGGTTAAAAAGTCGATGATTTAACTATATTTCCAGTTCGAAATTGTTAAAACAATTTCAAGAGAGCATTCTCTACATGTTTAAGAATATTTTCGATCAAAGCAGACTCCCCTTTTAATAGTTTGTAAATTGTAAATTCTCTAATCTTGCAACTTTTGATACGTTTCATATAATTATAATATTTCTATTTACAGCATATGTGAATAAAAATGTTATGCCTGGTCACAAAAAAGAGATAGAATTAATCTTTAATAAAAACATAGGACTATACTTAGACAATTTCCGTTGTATATCCAAATCAGGTAAAATAAAATGTAATTCCTATGATTATATTTTTTCTATAAATCTTATGTTTTCAACAAAATTAATAACCACAATAACAAAAGTACACACAGGTCTCCTCAGAGGTGGGCAGGTTCTTCTAAAATGTACCGCTACAAACTTGGTGGGAAGTTATTCCAAATGACTTCCAGATTCCAATTTTTCATACCGATAAATCGTACCTGATCCTCTTTTCGAATTATCTCTTATACAGATAGTCGGAAACTTGACAAGATAATTATGATTCCACGTTGTCTCTTCTTTAAGAAACTTTTTGATTTTTTTATGTCACATGTTCAAGTGCTATATATGCATAAATATATATAATTTTTAGTTAACAAATTTATAACTAAGCGAGAATTTTGCATCTTAAAAGAGCATCATTTATATATGTAGACGTCCGCATAAAAAAGGATCACTTTGCAGGTTCTAGATTCGGAGATAATCGCAATTTACTAATTTTGAAAAAAGTGAAACTTTTTTTATTCTTTTTTCTAAATCTATACAGGGTCACACACGTCGAATCATGCATTTTTCATTAATTTATTGATACTCTTTAAGTATTATTTGTTATTTGAAGCAATAAAATCTAAGGAAATATCGAAATTTTTATTTCTAAAAAACGAAATTAGAAATGGTAATATAAATTTTACTGGTTCTTCAGGGACGTTATTCAGATGAGAGTTATTTTAACTCTTTGCCGTACATAAGTTTTCCCCACCTCAGAAACAAGCAGTTTGACAGTTGAATCACGTGGACAATATCAGGGCCGAATGTTAGTTTGATTTTAAAGTTATGTTTACATAGGATATTTATATTTGATAAAGGTCTTTAACATTTTGAAACAGAAACAACTTTTGCAACCAACCGACAAAGTGATCCCTTTTCATTTTTTTGTCTAAGAAGAAAATAAAATACTTAACCCCTTCACAGTGTTTGACGTCTATAGAGGCCAAAATAATTCGTGCCCCCAGTGTGTATGACCGCTATAGCGGCATCGAAAAAAAGATATATAAAAGTTAACGAATCTTGCTAAAAATGCCTACTCGGGGGTTTTCGGGGTCGCTGAATCCAAATCCGTTATTGAAAATTTTAAATTCAAAATGGCGGCTTCAAAATGGCGACCAAAATTTTTTAAGTTTACGAATTTAGCTAAAAATGCTCATTAAAGGGTTTTTGAGGTCTCTAAATCCAAATATTTAGTCAAAAATTTAAAATTCAAAATGGCGGCTCCAAAATGGCAATCAAAAAATTTAAAATTCTCAAATTAGTTCTTAAAACTTAAAGCAGAGAAATTAATATGTCCGATGTTTTAAAACACTGTGAAATACTTAAAATCGATCTATATTAAAAAATTTAATAATAGTAATTAAATTAAATAGTTCGTGACTCCGGATACGACTAAGAGCGTTGTTTTAAATAGTTTGTGTAAATATATATAAATATAATATATGTAAAATATATTATACATATATAAAAATATAAACCTCAAAAGACTCAAATAACTATTTATAACCACATTCGTAAACTTTTAAATTTTTAGTTAACATCTTGAAGTCGCCATTTCGAATTATAAAATTTTAACCCAATATTTTGATTCAGTGTCTCCAAAAACCCCCATATGCTCATTTCTAGCCAAATCCGAAAACTTAAAAATTTTTTCGGTCGCCATTTTGAATTTTAAAATTTTAACCAGATATTCGAAATCAGCGACCCCAAAAACCCCCCAAGTGAGCATTTTTAGTCAAATCAGGAAACTTTTAAATTTTTAAAGTCGCCATTTTGAATTTTTTAATTTTAACCAAATATTCGAAATCGGCGACCCCAAAAACCCCCAAGTGAGTATTTTTAGTCAAATACGGAAACTTTTAAATTTTTAAGCAGCCATTTTGGAGCCGCCATTTTGAATTTTTAAATTTTGATTAAATATTCGGATTCAGCGACTCCGAAAACATAAAATATAATAATATTAAGTAATTAAAAAAAAAATTTTTTGCACATTTGTGGCACGAAAAGCTTATTTTGACTACACTGCTAAGGGGTTAAAGAGTATCAATACCCAACGGGAAGTTGCCAATGGTAACGATTGGTTCAATAGTGGGCCATGCTTGGTGCCCCATGGTTTTTTCTTGGCAAAACAATTGGCAACCATCATTAGACCACCATTGATTTTAGCTTGGGATGATCACGCTACTGCCAATGATCGGTAGCCAAGCATCGAGCCAATATTAGTTTCCAAGGAATTGCCATGGAAACAAAATCGATTTTCAAAAGCTTAATTTTTTATTGGTAGCCAACAAAAAACCAAGGGTTTGAAAATTTATTTTTTTTAATTATTAATTAAAATTTATTTAAAAAAAAAATATTTTACAAAAATATATATGGGACATTCCACGTCAACACGGACAGAGCTCTAAACAAAAATTGCTTTGATGGATTTAAACGTTCTAGGGCTTAAAAGATTTCTACGTTCATGTACTTTAAGATGCCGATGGGCGTTTTTGCAAAATTCCATTTCCGATGCCAATAGAACTGTCAAAAGTCAAAAGGTCCAAAAATCTCAAAATACTTTTATGAATTAAAAGCAAAAAACGAGGTAAATTATTCTGTAACTCATTCTTTATAAGTTTTTAGGGTTCCCGAATATAAATCTAAAGTTTTTTTTTAAAAAATCCAAAATGGCGAATTCAATATGGCGGACAAAATTCAAATTTGATCAGATTCGATGAAAACTTGTTACTCGGGGGTTTTTAGGGACGCTGATTACGAATCTGAAGTCACTTTTTAAAAATTTAAAATGGCGGATCCAATATGGCGGAAAAAATTTTCAAATTTGATCCGATTCCCTTAAAACGTGTTACTCGGGGGCTTTTGGGGTCACAGATTATGAATATGAAGTTACTTTGTGTTTGAGACTTCAAATTCATAATCAGATACGCTAAAAACCACCGAGTAACACTTTTTAATTAAATCTGATCAAATTAAAAAATTTGATCCGCCATTTTCAATTTCTACAAAGTAACTTCATATTCATAATCTGCGACCCCAAAAGCCCCCGAGTAACACGTTTTAAGGGAATCGGATCAAATTTGAAAATTTTTTCCGCCATATTGGATCCGCCATTTTTAATTTTTAAAAAGTGACTTCAGATTCGTAATCAGCGACCCTAAAAACCCCCAAGTAACAAGTTTTCATCGAATCTGATCAAATTTGAATTTTGTCCGACATATTGAATTCGCCATTTTGGATTTTTTTAAAAAAAACTTTAGATTTATATTCGGGAACCCTAAAAACTGATAAAGAATGAGTTACAGAATAATTTACCTCGTTTTTTGCTTTTAATTCATAAAAGTATTTTGAGATTTTTGGACCTTTTGACTTTTGACAGTTCTATTGGCATCGGAAATGGAATTTTGCAAAAAACGCCCATTGGTATCTTAAAGTACATGAACGTAGAAATCTTTTAAGCTCTAGAACGTTTAAATCCATCAAAGCAATTTTTGTTTAGAGCTCTGTCCGTGTTGACGTGGAATGTCCCATATTTAAAAAAAAAATTTTTTTAATTAATAGAAAATATTAATTTAATTTTTCACCTCTGTTAAAACAAAGGTGAAAGGTATCAATTGTTCACAGGCATCCCTCCACTGTGAGACATACGGTGAGGGAATTTTTATCAGTCTTTCACCTCTGTTTTACCAGAGGTGAAAAATTAAATTTATATGTTCAATTAATTAAAAAAATATTTTAAAAAAATATATTTTTTTTAAATAAATTTTAATTAATAATTCAAAAAATAAATTTTCAAAACCTTGGTTTTTTGTTGGCTGCCAATAAAAAATCAAGCTTTTGAAAATCGATTTTGTTTCCTTGGCAATTCCTTGGCAACTAATATTGGCCCGATGCTTGGCTACCGATCATTAGCAGTAGCGTGATCATCCCAAGTTTAAGCCATTGGTGATCCAATGATGGTTGCCATTAATGTTCCAATAATGGAACGGAGTTCCCTAAGCATGGCCCATTATTGAACCAATCGTTTACTTCCCATTGGGTAAATTAATGAAAAATGCATGATTCGGCGTGTGTGACCCTGTATAGATTTAAAAAAAGAATTAAAAATGTTTCGATATTTTTTTTCAAAATTAGTGAATTGCGATTATCTCCGAATCTAGAACCGACAAAGTGGTCCCTTTTCATGCGAACGTCCACATATATAAATTATTCTTTTTTAAGATGCGAAATTCTCGCTTAGTTATAGAATTGTTAACTAAAATTTATTTTATCAATAATATATTTATTTTATGGAGAATATTCAATTAATTTTACTTTTTATCAAGTAATTTCATTCAAAACACACGCTAATTTTGTTGTTTTAATTCATTGTCCGACGCCAGTGATATTTTTGGATAAATATTCAAACCGATTAATTTTGATTATTAAATATGCTAACTCAGTCTTTTCAAGCAGAGCGCAGGGTAAGATAAAATCACCAGTTAGATTTAATGTTTGTTTAATAAACAAAAAAATTACAGGTCCAGACGGGACCTGTTCAAAATGTACAGAAATGTCGTAAAACGAAGCTAAATGAAACACATTTTATTACGATCAAAATTCCTTAGGAAATAACACCATTTATTAATTTTGAGACTCACCAAAGATACGCCTACTGGACAGCCCTAAGCGATAAGTAATATTAAATTGTAAATTTTTGTACTTAGTTTTGATTATTATAAAGGATATTCAGGTATGAGTGGTAATAAACATTGTAGAGACCTTTGTTTATTACGCGATGGGATAAACAAAGGCTCAAAGTCAAGAAAGGGCGATACGATTATGAAAAACTTTCTTTCTCTTTATGATGAGACAGAAAGGGTTCGAACCAAAATCGACAATACGATTAACCTGAACCTTCCCCTTCCTCGAAGTGAAGGAAAGAGGGTTAATTAATTATTTTTTCTTATGAGTTTTTATTTTCTGTTTTCGTATCTCATTCGTATTTTATTCATTCTCCATCATCTTCAAAAACCAAGATTTTCCATAAAAAAGGATGGTGAAACAACACACCGACGTCCCCACATTGTCCCTTGACTCATCTTCGCAGGAGAAAAACACAAGATTACTTTATTAAAATTAGTTTTAAAGAAAATGTCTAATGTGATTTGTCACTTTTACGAACGCCAAATTGAGAATGAATTAAATAGTCGACGGTGAGTCTCACGCGCATTCATTTTCAATAACAAAAAAGCAGTACTCTTCTGAATCAAAGCTTCCACATTAAGATAATAAATTTTTCAAGTTTCCGACTATCTGTATAAGAGATAATTCGAAAAGAGGATCAGGTACGATTTATCGGTTTGAAAAATTCGAATCTGGAAGTCATTTGGAACAACTCCCCATCAAGTTTGTAGCGGTAAATTTTAGAATAACCTACACACCTCTGAGGAGGTTATGGAGTCAAAAGTTCCAATTCCGGAGGATCCAAATTATTATTTTCCCAAATGACGTTTTTTCCAAAGTATTATTTTTCCAAAGGCCATTTTTACCAAAGAATCTATTATTTTTCCAATAGTCGTTTTTCCAAACATTGTTTTTTTATTTTTCAAATTTCAAAGTGCAACTTCAAGTTAGGAAACTTTCAGTTATTATCGTTGTTATTTTCATAAATTGTCATTCGACGTGTGCTCATTCTAAAATTATGTTGTGAAACTAAAAATTTTATTCAAATTAAAAAATAGTAAACAATAAAATTATATTAAATTGTTAATTAGTGAAATTAAAAATTTTATTTAAATTATAAAATAGTGAACAGTGAAATTATATTAAATTGTAAATTTTAATTATAGCAGAATTAATACAAGACGGAAAAAAATTATTTACATATCGAAGGATTTCTGTATTACAATCATTTAGATGGAAAAAATAATGTGAAATATTGGAGATGCCTTATTTTTTCAAACAACTCCAATACTTTCCACTTATTTAACAATTTAACACTTTTTATTTTGGAAATTTCATACTTAGGTAAATTTATATTTTGGACATTTTAGGCTTTGGAACTTTTGTACTGTGGAAAAATAAATTTTGGATCTTTTCATTTTGGGAATTTTTTCTTGGAACTTTTCGATTGGAACTTTTGTACCCTAATCCTAGGGAGACCTGTGTACAGTTCAGCATCGAGATATTTAACGAAAAAGAAATCTGTATAAAATTAATCTAAATAATAATATTTTCGAAAAATTTTGTTGGCAATATATTTGCAATACATCGAAGTTTTATAATTATAAATATAAAACCATACCAGATAATAATTTAAAATTTTTTAATGACATAAATGTGTAGGTTCAAAGACGAGAAAACAATTTGACATAGAAAGCTATATATGTGAGGTACATGACAATAATGTTTAAAATAATATTTGTAAACAATAAGTATTGCAATATTTTTAAAATTGTTAATTTTAAGTGTTTTCAAGAAACAAATATTTGTTAATCATTTGCAGAAACCAGAAAGATTCCCGTATCAAGAAGAAGAAGAAGGGAAGGTACCTACTTTTTCTTTCATTGTTAACTGAATATTTAATTATAATGACACTTATTGTATGAATATCTTAAAATATTTATAATTTATAGATTGAATTAGTGCCTGAATCAAAGATTTGGATAAAAAAAGAAGAATTTGACAAGTTGAATAAGTATACGAATGTTGCATTAAATAAATTGATCCAACAGTTGTTGGAAAATTTACTTGGTAAAGAGAATATTATATTTTTTACTCTCAACGGAATCGGTCTATATGAACCAGTACCAGACAATCTCAGCAATGCTATTTACGGTGTGTTCCAGAGAAAGAAAAAATTACATTTTTATAATTTACAACGAGCAACGCTCCCGGCAAAAATACAACGCCCTCTATTTCATTCACACAGCGCACGCGAACTCATAACCCACGATATTCAAATATCTCATTAAAATCTCTAACATTTCATTGTTTTAAAAAAGTGATTGTTGTAGTTTGGAATATTAAGAGCCAGGGATGGCTTCGAAACAAAATAAACACGAAAAAATAATTTAGTTTTGGTGTAGGAATCAAAACTTAAATGTCCTTAAATTAAGCTTTCGTGCTGACAAATAAAAGGTCCCTGTATTTATTTTGTTACGCTATTCGTGACTAAAATTAAACTAAAGTATCCAAGCTATCCGTTGTTAAAACTGCTTATATATTCAATTTTATAACAATAAATTTTTTTAAATAACTACAACCAATAAAATACTTATTCTTTGTATATATATCTTAATGATAAATCGTCCAAGCGCCCATCCTGCCGGAAGGACGTTCCGAAAAAAAGGCTTTTAAAAAAAGGGAATTCAACTTTTCTTTTCTGGCACTCTTTGGGATTAAAGTAGACGAAAAGACGAAAAAATCCATATTTTTGACTTTTTAAAATAATAATATTAAATCATTTTTCAAAGCCTTCAAACTTCTATGTTTCTAAACAGTGAAAAATCATTCTTTCGTAAATTTAATGTAAAATCCCCAAAAATCAATATTTTTTGACCGGACAAGTCTGCTTCTCTTCAGAAACGTTTAAACAATGAAACCTAATTGTTTAATTAAAAAAAATCATTTTTAATATTGTTCAGTATATCTGAGTATAGACTCAGGCGCGAGTCCCTTCGAAATTGCTCTATAAAATTAATATGGAAGCAGATAAATATAAAACTAAATATATCGTTGGAAAGGTAATGAAAGAAGCTTTCAAATAATGTAAATATCGAGTCTTTAAATTTATAAACCTGGCCTAGGCATTATCTTAAATAAAGCGAAAAGCGTCCTGCCGGCAGGACCGGGCTTCGTCATTCTGTGACTAAAAATTATGTGAATTTTTGGAAAATTTAACTTCTTCAAACTACCCAGCCCTTAGTTTTGAACTTACAAGCTCGATATTAATATGCGCTGAAAGCTTGTTTCGTTACCTTTCCAATGATATATATAATTTTTTATTTATCTGAATCCATGTTAGTTTTCTTTAGTGGTTTCGGAGGGACTAACCTGAGTCTTTTTCGTCCTGCCGGAAGGACGTTGGACGATCTATCATTAAAAGAGGAGTTTCACAGATGAATAGGGCATAATATTTTAGATTTTTTAAGAAAAGAATATTGCAAACTTGTATTAAATAGACATATACATTGTCAATAATTGCAATGCTCATAATTTTATGCATCAAATTTACTCTTTATACACATAATGGATTACTTTTCCTTTAAGAGACTTTAAAATCGAATAGAATAAATGGTTAAGGAGTTTGTTTATAGGTATGCAGACATTCAGAAAAAATATTGAATTGACAATAAAGAATTTTTTAATATTATTGTTATTCCTATCTTCTGTAAGAAAAAATATCAAATTTCAAGAAAAAGATTTAAAACTTACAAAAATTGTTTATTTAGTTATTTTTCATATGATCAAACTTTTCTTCATATTAAAAGGTTAAACTTTTTAAAAACTGATTCGATTTAAGTCAGTGATGGCTTATTTTCTTCAGAAAATGATTCTCTATAACTTGACCGCTCAGATTTATAAACAAATACACTGTTTTGAAAATATGCTTATTTGTTTAAAAAAAGTGATTTAATTTAAAAAATCTTCTTTAAACAAATAAGCATATTTTCAAAACGATGAACTTGTTTATAAATCTGAGCGGTCAAGTTATATAGAACCATTTTCTGAAAAAAATAAGCCATCATTGACTTAAATCGAAACAGTTTTTAAAAAGTTTATCCTTTTAATATGAAGAAAACTTTGATCGTATGCAAAATGACTTAATAAACAATTTTTGTAAGATTCAAATTTTTTTCTTGAAAATTGATATTTGTTCTTCCAGAAGATACAAGTAACAATAATTTTAAAAAATTATTTAATGTCAATTCAATATTTTTTTAAAGGTCTGCATACCTGTAAACAACCTCCTTAACAAAATTGGGCTAACCACGTTTTTAAATTTTATTTTTAGCGTCTTTAAAAACTCTATTTTCTTAACTGAATATAAAATTTGCCTTTTTACAGAATTTGTGAAGGATAAAGCACGAGTGTCGAAAACTTTTACTTACGAAAGCTGCTTAAAGGCAATTGGTAAAGCATTAATGAAATCAAGAAGTAATTTTGAACCAGGTAAAAACATGAATTAACTTAAAAATCTTAAACTAGTAACAATTAGACATTTAACCTCTACTATTATTTTGTAAATTCACTCTCATTCTCATTTTCACACTTAACTTCTTTCTCCTACATTTCACTACTACTCTACTCTGACATCACCCACACGTTCACTTCACTTTCACTGTCATATTTACTTTCACTTCAGTTTCACTCTGGCTTTTAATTCACCCTCACTTTCACCTTTCCTCATGTTCACTTTACTCCCAATTTCACTGTCACGTCCCGAGCTTAGGTGATGATAATTTAATTAATAGGACGTTAATTGCTGATTTGTCAAGTTGGTAAATCCTCACATTTATTTTTAAGTGTGGATTTGTTTGACGTTGAAAGAACTACGGGTTCTCGATAAATTTAATTAAGTGCATTTTCCTTTTTATGATTGTTTATTAACATTAAACGTTTAAACACTTAAAGTTACTTACAATCGATCGACCCACTGAAACCAATTCCCCATTCCCAGAACTACGAATTTGCTTATAATATTACGCGTGTTTTACTACAATTGTTCCCAATAATACGCGTGCATTACTATGAACTATCTAGGGCTGCGCATGAGATCGAGACCAGTCTCGGTCTCGTCTCGGTATTGTCTCGAAAAGCGAGACAATACCGAGACGATACGACTAAAAATTTTCCGATACAAGATCGAGACGAGACCACGCTAAAAGAAAATCTTGACGAGACTCTCGCCGAGACCTATAAAATACTACATCTCGGTAACGTTGATTCTACACGTTCATCAACACTTACTAAAAATATCGAAAATGGAACGATATTTTGCGACTGATTCAATATCCCCATTTCTCAAAACATAAATGCATAGGTGGTTAGACTTTAAATAGTAGAAAAAAGTTCGTCAAAAAAACTAAAAATGTTAGAAAAAGCTCAATTAATAAATTAACTATTCTACAGTCGATTTATCCATTATTTAAGTTGAATTCAATCGTAAATTGTTCAAATATTATTGATAAAAATGCGAACTGTGAGACCTGTCAATGTATTGGTAACATGCGTGATACTTGTAGCAGACTACGATTCACTACGATCATATTCTGAACAGCGGAACGAAAGGAACTGATTTGGATAAACGCGCGAAGTTTCAAAATGATGTGTAAATATAGTAAACATTGAAAAAAATTGCTTTCTTTGATTTAAGAGATATTACTAATAAATCATATCTTTTACTTTTAAAAAACGTTTTTTTAAAACAATGTGATCAAAAATTAGAAATTTAGCAAAACTTTTTCAATTATTAAAATAAATGAATTTATTTAAATAAATATTATTCAAAGCTAAAAATCAGTATTTTACTTAGAAAAATACATTTGAATAAAAATTTTTTAAACAATTAAAATAATAATAATAATAATAAAATAATAATAATATAATATAATATAATATAATAAAAATATAATATAATAATAATAATATAATAATATAATAATAATAAAATATAATAATAATAATAATATAATAATAATATAATAATAATATTATATAATATAATATAATAATATAATATAATATAATATATTAATAATAATATTTTAAATAACATGAACAATTAATTTTGATTGAAAATTAATGATTATTATATTTAGTAGAATATAAAAAATAAAAAAGCAGAAAACAAACAGAAATAATGCTACAATCAATTATACTAAGAAAGATAAAATAGACAATTTTTTCCCGTTTTTCTAAAATAATTAGAAAATTTACTTTTCAGACCAATTAAAATGAGATTCTAACTCCTTCTACTTTAAGAAGGAGGAGTTTAAATTTTATTTTAATTGGTCTAAATCATCAATTTTTTTTGGGGGGTTGGAATTATATGATTTATTTTTTAAATATTAATTTTTTCTCTATTTTGTTTAACTCAACCAACAAATAGAAAAATTGATTTTGAAAATGGGAGGAGGTTGTTTATTATTTTTATTGGTCTACATAATCCATTTTTTCTTTGGGGGTTGGTAATATATGTGTTATTTTTCAAATATTAATTACTTTCTCCATTTTCTTTAACTCAACAAACAAATAAAAAATTACATTTTGAAAATAGGAGGAACTTATTTTTATTGGCCAGAAGTTTTTTTTTCTTAATGAGTTAGGACTAAATGTAACTTTTTAAAAATTAAATATTTTCTCCCTTTTTGTACAGTTGAACCAACGAATAAAAAAATTGCTTTCTTAAAGTAGGAGGAGTTAGAATCTCATTTTAATTGGTCTGAAAAGTAAATTTTCTAATTATTTTAGAAAAACGGAAAAATATTGTCTATTTTATCTTTCTTAGTATAATTGATTGTAGCATTATTTCAATTTGTTTTTTGCTTTTTTATTTTGTATATTCTACTAAATATAATGATCATTAATTTTCAATCAAAATTAATTGTTCATGTTATTTATTTTTTACATGAAATTGTTTAAAAAATTTTTATTCAAATGTATTTTTCTAAGTAAAATACTGATTTTTAGCTTTGAATAATATTTATTTAAATAAATTCATTTATATTTTAATAATCGAAAAAGTTTTGCTAAATTTCTAATTTTTGATCACATTGTTTTATAAAAACGTTTTTTAAAAGTAAAAGATATGTTTTATTCGTTTTATTAGTAATATCTCTTAAATCAAAGAAAGCAATTTTTTTCAATGTTTACTATATTTACACATCATTTTGACGAACTTTTTGCTACTATTTAAAGTCTAACCACCTATGCATTTATGTTTATCGAATCTGTCAGGAATTTCAAGTAATTATTAATTATTTAGATATTTATTTATTTCAATTTTTGATTAAATCGAATCTCTAAATATCCATTTTACATTATCAATACTTCCTTTTGCTATCAAACACCTTCTAAATAGTTTATTTCTACTTTAACCGTATATCTACTATATGTCTACCATTTGTCCACTTTAAAAGTGGACATATAGTAAATCCAAATCTGGCAGGGATTTTTCAACGGGAAAAGTGAGGTGTGAACGATCTTCTGCCTGCTACAGTTGTTACTGGAGATAAACAATCAGAAAAAGTAGAAAATGTGGATACACCAAGTGGAAAAAGAACAAATTCTAAATCTTCAGCCCATTTTCTGTATGAAATTCACGAAAACAAACAAGTAGCAGTATGTCTAGCATGCCAAAAATCAAATATTGTAACTCGTATCAAACGAACTGGTGGAAACACTTCAGGAATGAAGAAACATCTCGCATCAGCACATTTAAAAATTTATGGAACTATTTTCGGTGTTAACCCAGTGGGCGCTCTTGTTCAAAAGACGTCCTAAAGATGTCTTTTTGCGGACGTCTTTTGGACTTGTACAAAAAGACGTCCGCTATACATGTTCTATGTCTTGGCCATTAGATGTCTTTAAGATGTCTAAAAGACGTCGTTTTCATTCAACATTTGAAAATAGAAAAATTTTCATAAATAGAAAATATTATTTTCTAAGTTCAACTTAGACTTAGAAACTAATCAATGTAAAAGTGATTGGAATTTTTCTAAGTTGAATTCATTTCATTGACAAGTGAGATCGTTAACTTTGTAGAGGTTCATATCTGTCTTGAACGGCTGAGGTGCTTAAGGCGCAGTGTTTCAAGCCCAAGTTATCCGCGTTCGATCCCAGCTGCGTAGGAATTTTTTCATTATTTCTCCACATGTTAGAAAAAATAAAATTAAACTTAAAATAAATTTAATACAATATTACTGAATTTCAACTTAGAAAATGTTATAAAAGAAATGTTTATTTAAGATCTGAAGGAATGTAAAAAGGACGTCCAAAATACGTCTTAAAGACGTCTTTTAGACGTCCCTTTTATGTCTTTTAGACGTCCAAAAGACGTCTTTTAAACGTACTTTAGACGTCCTTTCTTATGTCTTTTAGACGTCTTTTGGACGTCTGTTGGACCAGACATAGAACGTCTTTTAGTTGTCTTTTTGATGACTCAGAGACATTGCCATCATTGTTCCCGAATCGTCCGCGGACAAAAAGGGACGTCTTTAAGACGTCTTTTAGACGTCCCTGTGCCCACTGGGAAGTCATCAGTTCCAGAATCTGGTCAACAAAAAATTAGTGACATGTGTTTACCGGTAAGATTACTTTTTTGAAAACTAGAATTGAATAAATTTATAGAATAGATAATCCACAAAGTCTATGTGACTGATTACAATAGTCTACGTTAAAAGGAAATCTTGGATTCTGTTCACATTTGCAGCAATCTAAGGGAATCAGTGATACAGTCTGTAGTAGTCTTTACAACAGGACTATTGTAAAATAAGGTGACCGCGGCTGCCTTTCCTTATTATTTTACTATAGTTCTTCGTAAAGACTACTATTGCTATATTTATGATTACAAATGACTGTTGTAAAGTTAAAAAAGAAAATTTTCAACTAAAATAAAATTTTTTTGTAATTCATGACTTCTAATCATGTATTGCACATTAATTTCACTCTTCCAAGACTACCCACTTCAAGATTAATTATATTATTAAACTAGACAATTTCACTAAACCCTAAGTACTGTAACGCGGCATTTTATTTGCCGCGTACAAATTAATATTCCTTAAATAATAGACTTTAAATTATTATTTATTGGACTTTAAATTTTATTGATTCACGTCAAACTGAGAATCAACAATCATTTTCTCCTTCTGAGAAAACTTACTTTAAATTTTTCCACTACTGTAAAATTTAGTTTCTCTTAAAATATTGTTATTTAAACCTGAAATTATGCGAACCGTCAGATCGCTGGTCAACACAATTTCTGTAAACATAAGAGGGTGATACTCGGTTTTTCATTTTCATGTCAACTATCATCGCGAGATCCGGATTTTCAATCTTCGGGATCACTGCCGAGAGATTGCTTCGTATTACAACAAGTAATGTGTTTACTTGTTATCATTACGGGTCATACGAAGTGACAAAAAGGCGAAAGTCCATCGACGAGGACATCAACTGTCAAAACACTGGCTGCAGCCATCTTGCGAACCGGACGTCGTCGCGCAGTGCCCCTCGCGGAGACTAAACGAACTTTCATGAACTCTTTTTCGACGGTCGATAAATGACATGAATTACTTACTGTCGCGCAACGATTACCTACCGAAAATCTTTGTATCAAGTGCGCGTGAGACTCACCACGAAGCAGAGACGCGCGTCTGCTTCGGCGTCCCCGTCGGCCATTTAATTCATTCTCATTTTGGCGTCTTTGTGACAGGTCGCAGTAGACCTTTTTTTATAATAAAAATTAAATTAAAAATTCATATTGTGTGTAAACCTCCTAATAAGATGAGCCGAGGAACAATGAGGGGACGTCGGCGTATCTCCGGTGAGTCTCAAGAGTAATAATGTGTTGTTTCCCTGTGAATATCGATCAAAATTAATAAATGTCAAATTTCTTTGTTTCACGACATTTCTGTAATTTGAACAGGTCCCGTCTGGACCTGTAATTTATTATTATTAAATCAAAATTTAAACATTAACTGGTGATTTCTCTTACCCCGCGCTCTCTTTGAAAAGATTGAGCTAGCATAACATTAATTTAAATATTAGGTTTGAATATTTTTCCATAAAATATCTCTGGCGTTCGGGCATAAATTCAAACAACAAAGTAACGTGTGTTTTTATTTAGTTTGTTGATTCGGAAGTAAATAAAAATAAATTAATAAAATAAAATAACCTCATTTGGAGTAATAATATTAATAATAATCTCTCAAATATTAACAACAATAGTAAGACACCCGTTATAGTAAATAAATCTAACTTAAATACTAAACGCATAACATAGTAACGATCGCTATTTACACATATTTATACATGACTTAAACTTCCTTATATAATAACTGCTATGAAAGTTCACCGCTTGCGAGAAAGACTTATACACTTTAAATGTGAAAAAATCACTTCGTTCTCAATAATTAATACAATTATAACAAGTCTCTGCGTGAATGCCTACAGTACCCTTTCTGAACCTGTACATCTAAACTATTAATGATTCCAAAAAATAAATTTCAACACGATTAATACAGTGTTTGGATTCATTAAAGTAACGATAGTAATCGCTCCTACTAAATTCTTAATAAATTACATAGTTTTCGTAATCATTACAAAAAGTGGTCACATATCCGAGCTGTAATATAGACTATTGTAATCATTACGAAAGAATTTTTCTCCGTGTAGTTTCAATGGAAAATCATATTACGGTATAACTGTACATTTTGTCGGGGATGACTGGAATCTACATTCAATGGCTGTTGATTTTGTTCCTGCGCAAGGTTCTCATACTGGAAAAGCAATTGCGAAAGTCTTTTTTAATTGTCTCGAAAAGTAAAAGCTGCAGGAAAGACTACAAGGGATAACTGTTGACAACGCCGCCGCTAATACAACCTTTATGGAAGAACTTAAAATTCTGATGAACAATAAAGGTTACTCTTTCGACCACGTTAATCAACATTTCAAATACTTTGCGCATATCATGAATCTCGGTGCGCAGGATGCGCTCAAATTAATCAAAGTAGAATCATATCTCGACAATGAGGATGTGAAGGAGGAAGAAGCTTCGCAAGATGAGTCTGGACTTAAATTGAACGAAAATAAAAAGGAAGAATTTTCAGATGAAGAATTAGATGAAGACAATCTTGAGTTCGACAGTGATTTAAATCCTCAAACAGCAATTGAAAAATAAAGAATCACCTTTAAAAAAGTCAAAAAATCCGAGCAACTTCAAAGAGTTCTAAAAAGTTTCTGTGATGCAGCTGGAATAAAATATTACAAACCAGTATTAAACGTGAGCACTCGTTGGAACAGTACTGATAATATGATAATCACCGGGTTAAAAATGAAAAAGGCATTGCAATTATTATGGTGTGAAAACGATAAAGTTGACAAATATGAACTCTCTAAAGATGAATGGTCATTATTGACTCAAATCCATTCTTTTTTGAAAGATTTTGAGAATGTTTCTCTAATTCTAGGAGGAGAAAAATTTACGACATTGCTATTAGCCATAATTGCATTTAATATGATACTTGATCGAATCGAGGGTATGATGTTTGCTTTAAATGACAAAATCGACAGAACTAAAGTCGACGAAATTTTAATAAAATCTTTTCAAGCAGCTCGAGATAAGATTGTTAAACACTACCAAAAAAACAAATTGGGTTTATTGTGCTGCTTTTGTTTTAGACCCTCGTCACAAAGTAGATACCTTCGATTCGCCAAGGTGGGGCAGGGAATTGAAAGAAGCTTCAATTACATTTTTTTAAGACATGTATAGAAATGATTATTGTAACAATTCGGAAAGCGATGACGAAGACAATGGCACAAAAAAGCATAAAACAACAGCGAAAGTCAATTTGAATTCTCAAATATCGACTTAAATTTAATTTTTCAAAATGTTCCTCAGAAATGGAATGATGAGTTGGCTGAATATTTGTCTCTAAAAAGAGCTGATAGGAATCAGAACATTTTAGAGTGGTGGAAAGCCAAAGAAAAATCATTTTCAACACTATCCAAAATGGCGAAAGATTTGCTATCTATACCAGCAACCTCGGTACCAGTAGAGAGATTGTTCTCTCTTGCTGGTTTGATCGTTACTCAATTAAGAAGCTGTATGAGTGACAAATCTATTCAAGCTTTACTTTGTCTACATTCCTGGTCAAAATCCGAGTTCAAAAATATTTTAGACGCTGTATAACTTTAAAATTATTTGTTATATTCAATGTCAAATTTGAAGTTGAAATCTATATAAGATGACTTGTAAATTTTAAATAAATGAACAATTATATTCTTTATAATTATACAATGTTTTATTTTTCAGACCATTTTTTGAAAATAGACGAGACGACAATTATGAAAGCGAGACCGAGACGATATTAAGCTTGACGAGACCGAGACGACACCGAGACGAGACGTACAAATTCTTATTTTTGCGAGGCCGAGACGAGACTATATAAAGTCTCGTCTCATATCGTCTTGTGCGCAGCCCTAGAACTAAATTGAATAGTAAAATTTTTAGATAGGGTTAACCGATGCATCGTAAGTACAGTCACTGACCCAAATATTTTTCCGTGTATAAATTAAAGTTTTATTTTAGAGATATATTATAATGCATTATTTGTCAAATAAAGTTTTATCTTAATATTTTACATGAAATTCGTAGTAAATGGAGCACTCGCAGTAATACACACAATCACCCTAAATCTTATATTTTCAACAAAATTTATCACAAAAGTACTGTTGAGTATTAAAATATTTAATAAATAAAAAATGTGTATAAAATTAATCTAAATAATAATATTTTTAAAAAATTTTGTTGGCAATATGTTTGCAATACATCAAAGTTTTATAATTATAAATATAAAACCATACCAAATAATAATTTAAAATTTTTCAATGACATAAATGTGTAGGTTCAAAGACGAGAAAACAATTTGACATAGAAAGCTATATATGTGAGGTATATGATAATAATATTTAAAATAATATTTGTAAACATTAAGTACTGCAATATTTTAAAAATCATTTATTTCAAGTGATCTCAACAAACAAATATTTGTTAATCATTTGCAGAAACCAGAAAGATTCCCTTATCAAGAAGAAGAAGAAGGGAAGGTAAATACTTTTTCTTCCATTATTAACTGAATAATTATTTAACAACATTTTTCTAAAGAGAAATATTAAATTGTCAACGATAATCTAATAACAACCCAATAACTTCTAAATCTCTTTGCCTTCCATTTTGTTTTTCTCTTTAACTGTTGTATTGATTTAAAATGAAGAAGGAATATCCCAGTGGGGAAAAAACCATCATTGTTTTAAAGACGTTCCAAAAACGTTTTTAGAACGTTTCATGGCTGCAAAATAATGTTCCAAAAACGTTCTATTACTTTTAAAACGTTTTAGAACCATATAACGTTTTTGGGACGTTCTTAAAACAATGATGGTTTTTTGCCCACTGGGATAATGGTAAAAAATTGGTAATTGACATTAAGTGTACTGGAAGTTAATGCATCCTAATAGAAAAATTATTATTAATACAACGGAGATTCCATTTTTTAAACTCACTACATAGCAATAAATGATGATTAATACAGTATAGGTATAATTATAATTAAAAATACTTATTGTATAAATATCTTAAAATATTTATAATTTATAGATTGAATTAGTGCCTGAATCACAGATTTGGATAAAAAAAGAGGAATTTAACAAGTTGAATAAATATTCCAATGTTGCTTTAAATAAATTGATTCAAGAGTTATTGGAAAATTTACTAGGTAAAGAGAATATGATATTGTTTACTCTCAGTGGCTCGGGTCTATATGAACCAGTACCAGGCAATCTCAGCAATGCTATCTACGGTGAGTTCCACAGAAAGAAAAATTACATTTTTCTAATTCTAATAAATTATAGTCCAATTCCAATACTTAGTGCTATCCCAAAAATATTTGAAAATTTTATGTATTTTATTCACTATTTTCTTCTGTTTCAAATGTGCTAATCGAAGAGTAGCATGGATTTGTCCAAAACAGATCGACTATAACAAATCTTAGAATTTTTATAAGTTACTTATCTTAATAAATGAACTTAAATCTTTGGGTGTGTCTGACAATCTAATCTGCTTATTCTTTAAAAGTTATCTTTTCGATAGATTTCAAATAGTTAAGATTGACAATGTATTATTAAAAAAAGATTGAGTCAAACATCCCAATACGGGTTTTACTCGAATCCGTATTGGCTTAGAGCTTCACTCAATTCCTAAACGCTCCACTCAATACTTTTTTCTTACTGGGTTCGACTTGTATGAAAATGGCGGCAGTGTTCTCTCATGGGCAATAAAATCAGCTGTTCCCATGCGTTATTCTTGACCATAGAAGAAAACGACCGCCATTTTCATACAAGTCGAACAAGTTAATGACTTTTACTCCCTGTCATCTGCTATCTGAAATCGACACTTTTGTGCATTATGAATAAAAAACATCGTCAGCAACATGGGAATAAAGACAACCAATTTGTTTACGATGATTTTTGTGACACGAGTGGAAGTCAAGGGCGCCCCAAGGCCAAAACGAGCGTCACAAAAATCACCGTAAACAAATGGCTGTCTTTATACCCTTCCCAGTGGGCAAAAAACCATCATTGTTTTAAAAACGTTCCAAAAACGTCTTTAAAACGTTTCATGTCTGCTAAATAATGTCCCAAAAACGTTATATGATTCTAAAACGTTTTAAAATTAATGGAAAGTTTTTGGAACATTATTTTGCAGCCATGAAACGTTCTAAAAACGTTTTTGGAACGTTTTTAAAACAATAATGGTTTTTGCCCACTGGGTTGTTGCTTAATATACTATTGTTTCATTGTTTTAAAGATGTGATTATTGTAGTTTGGAATGCTTAAAATACTTATATTTAGTTTTGTAATAAATTTTTTAAAATAACGACAACCAATAAAATACTCATCCTTTGAATATATCTTAAAAATGGTGTTTCACAGATAAATAGTGCATAATATATCAGTATTTAAAGAAAAGAATGCGGCAAACTGTTATTAAATAGAGAACTACATTGTCAATAAGTGCAATGCCCATCACAAAGATTACACTCTGATGCATTAAATTTACTTTTTATACCCATAGTCCTATAATGGATTACTTTTCCTTTAAGAGACTTTGAAATTGAATAGAATAAATGTACAACAAAATATTGGATTAACAACGTTTTTAGATTTAACGTTCAGCGTCTTTTAATACTTAATTTTTTTTAACTGAATATAAAATTTGCTTTTTTACAGAATTTGTAAAGGATAAAGCACGAGTGTCGAAAACTTTTACACACAAAAAATGCTTAATGTCAATTGAAAATGTTTTAGCGAAAGCCAGAAATAACTATTAAACAAGGTAAAAGTATGAAAAACTTCAAATTCTTAAACTGGTAATAATTAGACATTTAACCACCAGGAGTTGCTGTTTATAAAGTTGATGTTTAAATAGCAATCCGTTTATCTTGTACTTCCGTTAGCCACGATCTAAACTTAATTGTTGTTATCCAGCTCTTACCTCTAAAAGCTGCACATGCAAAAAAGACACTTGTTTGTAGTTTCCGGTTTTTTCTAGAAATTATATAAAGTTTAAAAAAAATTTTCACTACAATTAGAGAAAGTGATCAGTACTGCAAGAAAGGGATTAAAATTTCAATTTCAAACTTACATAACCAGAGGTTCTCAAGTAATAATCAGCTACAACATTCGTAAGTGCTTACTGATTCTGTCTGACTAAAATTGACCTGGTTTACATTTTAGACTTGATACAAGATGCCCTGTTACATCAATATGAATCATGCAAATTTACCCCTCTAATAAATTAGTTAAATAAACTAAAAGTCGTAGGAAAAGATATTCTCACTTTTTACATTCTCATCATATGAGAAAGTATTAGTTTTGGTCGAAAATTGACTTTCGCTAATTTTATGAAATCTCAACGTTTTGGGGTCCCCTGAGTCCGAAAAACATGGTCTAAAAAAGTGTCTGTCTATATGTCTGTCATCGTGTCTGTCTGTCTGTAGACACAATGGTGTCCCTACGATAACTCTTGAAAAACTTATTGCATCAACTTGCAACTTTGCATGCACAAAGTTAGTGTTAAAATACAGGTCGAGTTCGTTAGCCAGCTATTTTCGTCGAAAACTACGCAAACTACAGTAGTTTCAAAATTTTAAAAATTCAATTTTTTCAAATTTCATTATTTTTAACTTTATATTACTTTAGATTAGACAAATACAAACAACTTTTCTCTACAACATTTTTTCATAGAAAATTAATTTTTTTTTAAGTTTTTGGGTCAGGCTAGCTCAACTGGGTTAAAAATTTTTTATTGATTTTCTAAAATGTTATAACTAAAATATATTCATAAAAGTTTTAACATTTTAGAAAATCAATGAAATTTTTTTAATGCAGTTTGGCTGGTCTGACCCTTTTTTACATTTTAATTTTTGGTCCTATCTTGTTGGAAATGGTTTTTTACATTCTAATCACATGAGGAGGTATTAGATTTGATGAAAAATTGACTTTTTATACCTCAGGTTGAATGAAAATGGCGACCTTTTTTCCCATGGGCAAAAAAAACAGCTAGTCCCATGCGTTATTTTTGCTCATGGAAAAAAAATGCCGCCATTTTCATAGAAGTCGAACAAGTGAATGAGTTTTACTCCCTGTCGTCTGCTATCTTAAATCGCCACTTTTGTGCCATTGGAATAAAAAATATCGTAAGTTACACGGGACTTAAAGGCTGCCTTTACGGTACCTTGTTGCTTAATATACTATTTGCTAATTTTATGAAATCTTTGCGTTTTGAGGTGCCCTGAATCCAAGAAACATGGTCTGTCGATTACGTCTGTCTGTCTGTCTGTCCGACGATAACTTTTGAAAAACTTAATTTTTTCAAAAACTTTTTTCGAATTTTTGACTTTTTGTCTCAGCTTAGTGGAGGTGTTTTACTTTTGCTTGTTAAAACGATGGGTAAATATCACAATCACTGTATCCGGATTTACATGTTTTTAATCATACACTTGATATATATTTACAAATCACGTATATAGGGGAAACGGGACATAATGGCTAAGGGGCGTAATGAATAATTGTAATTTATTTAAAAATCGTAAATCGAAATGATTTCACTCCAAAGACAACTTGATGTATTGCAAGTTTCTACAAAGTTTGATTACACAGGCACACAAAAAAAAATGTGTCGTGGCCGAGACACTACAATAGTATATTCCCATGTATTTTTGGCCGCTGAATCCGAATCTGAAGTCCGAATGCTCAAATTGGTTCTTTTTTTTGAGTTATACTCAAAAAACGACTCAAAACACGAATTTGAACCAAAAAAATTAAAAAATTTTTTTGTGACATGACAATAGCATATTTCCATGTATTTTTTCCCGCTGAATCCGGATTCGAAGTCAGAATTGACAGATGTGCTCAAAATTATGAGCTAAACTCATAAAACGACTCAAAAAACCGAATTAAAATGATGAAAATGAAAAATTTTTTCTGTGACATTGCAAAAGTATATTCCTATATATTTTTGCATGCTGAATCCGAATTCGAAGTCAAAATTGACAGATTTGCTCAGAATTTTGAGATAAACTCAAAAAACCACTCAAAAAAAGACTCAAAAAACCGAATTAAGATGAAAAAAATTTTTTATGACACTACACTACTATATTCCCATGTACTTTTTCCCGCTGAATCCGAATTCGCAGTCAGAATTGACAGATTTGCTCAAAATTTTGAGATAAGCTCAAAGAACTGAAAAAAAGCGATTTAAAATAAAGAAATTGAAATTTTTTGCTATGACACTACATTACAGTATTTCCATATCGAATCTCGCATTTAAAGTCAGAATTGACAGATTTATGACTGATTTGCTCAAAATTTTGAGATATACTCAAAAAACTGATAAAAATGTAATTTAATATGAATAAAGGAAATTTTTTGCTATGACACTACACTAGTGTATTCCCATGTATTTTTTCACTGTGATTCCAAAGTCAGAATTTTCAAAGTGGCTCAAAATTTTGGATTTCATTAAAAGTACTCAAAAACATGCATGCTTGTACCTGTAACCAGGGTTTGAGTTCTAAAAAATTTTATGTCATTCTGATAATTCTAACTTCGAATTTGTATTCAGCGTATATAAAATTCATGAGAATACACTACCGAATACCAAAAAAATGAACTCTTTTGCATTAAATTAAATTTTGAGCATTTTTGGATTTAACTTAAAATTTTGAGCCAATTTAATAATTTTAACTTTGAATTTAGAAGCAGATGTAAAAACATGAGAATATACTAATGTAGTGTACTAGCAAGAAAAGTAGAGTTTCTTGACTTTAATTTTTGTAACTTAACAGATTTTCTTGTGTGTCTCAAAATTTTGAGCCATTAGAATAATTCTGACTTCAAATGCGAGATCCGAGTGTAAAAATATATAGAAATACTGTAATGTAGTGTCATAGCAAAAAATTGCCATTTCTTTATTTTAAATCGCTTTTTTATCAGTTCTTTGAGCTTATCTCAAAATTTTGAAAAAATCTGTCAATTCTGACTGCGAATACGGATTCAGCGGGAGAAAGTACATGGGAATATAGTAGTGTAGTGTCATAAAAAATTTTTTCATCTTAATTCGGATTTTTGAGTCTTTTTTGAGTGGTTTTTTGAGTTTATCTCAAAATTTTGAGCAAATCTGTCAATTTTGACTTCGAATTCGGATTCAGCATGAAAAAATACATAGGAATATACTTTTGCAGTGTCACAGAAAAAATTTTTCATTTTCGTCATTTTAATTCGGTTTTTTGAGTCGTTTTTTGAGTTTAGCTCAAAATTTTGAGCACATCTGTCAATTCTGACTTCGAATCCGGATTTAGCGGGGAAAAAATACATGGAAATATGCTATTGTCATGTCTCACAAAAAAATTTTTTAATTTTTTTGGTTCAAATTCGTGTTTTGAGTCGTTTTTTGAGTATAACTCAAAAAAAAGAACCAATTTGAGCATTCGGACTTCAGATTCGGATTCAGCGGCCAAAAATACATGGGAATATACTACTGTAGTGTCTCGGCCACGAAACTTTTTTTTTTGTGTGCCTGTGTTATTTATTATTCAATCACTATTGTAAGAAATATAGTAGAAAATCTGTATTTCACATATGAAAGTAACTTTTCAAAATTTTCATTTTTTCGTTCTAATTTTTTTAAAATAACTTTAGAAAAGAAACTAAAATCGCGTTTTAAGCTTGAAACATTTTTTGAGGGTCAATTTTAGATTTTTGATTCACACTTACTGTATTGATAAAAATTACATAATATTTCCTAAGTACCCCTAGGGCGTGTTGGCTAATGCAACACGCTATGTATAACCCGTGTAGAAATTTATCGTGGAAGTGTATGAGAAACTGTCCAGTTGCGCTAGATTCAATCTAGCAACTAGATGGGAAAAATGGACAGGCTTGAACGAGGGATGTAACGCTAGCAACGTCAAGATTTTGTAGTTATTTTGTCTAGTCCTTGTCTAGTAAAATAAATCATTTCTAGCCAGTTCCTGGATATTTAAAATAAGCAGTTTCTACATACTGGGAATAATTGTTAGGTTTATAAATAATAGAACAATATTTTTCAACTTTACTCTTTTGTTTGTTTAACTTTTAAACAAACAAAACAGTAATACAAAAGTATTTGTTATTATCACAATTCCTCTTACAATTATTTTTGAAATTAATTGTAACATATTTTGCTACATTGGATTTTTTCTTTAAAACACAAACACATTCACTATAAAGATTCGTACTTGTATACCGATAATAAAATTAATTGTATATTATATTTGTTGCAATCACAAAAAATTTACTTAAAATTACCAAAGTTTTATTACTTATTATGAACATTATAATATAAAAAACAATCTAGACTATTAATGATGGATTCCCTACCTATTTTCCTAATCTGTTTTTCCTAAAGTACTGTTTCCGAAAAAGCAAATTCCTAATACTTTTTTCCTAATCTAAATTTCCTAATGCTATTAATTTTTTCCTAAAGCTATTAATTTTTTCTAAGTTCCAAATTATTTAAATTCAAAATGAAAGTGAGCAAAGTTCTGAAATGCTGCTTTATTGTTTCGGTTATTAGTAATGAAATTTAGATAACAATAGTGTGAGGCAAAGTTTCGAGATATTTGAAAATTCTATTTTCCTCCTTATAAGTTTCGTAATCGTCAACAATACGGCGTAGTCTTTTTTGGGTTTCTAACCATTTTCTTTTTGGACCTGCTGACACTTTCTTCCCCAAACTCAATTCTCTACACATAACTTCCAAATCAGTTTGCTCCGATTGAAAATTGTTGAGTAAGGAATATAAATCCGGATGATTTTTTCCTAACAGGAGATGGAATCGGTTATGCCATCCCTCGCTACAATTATTGGTTCTTTGGGCGCCGCTCAAAGTGGCATGATATTGGTTCCACAAAGGAATAGGGAAGCGAGGGGGAATGGCCTTTCGTCTACCTCTTGCGCGGCGACCGCGAATGTAATACTCTTCGAAGTAGTCCGTGACAGGAAGCAAGTCATCTTGAACTTTTTCTACGAGAAGGTCAAAAACTTTCGTCACGACGTCTGGTGGTAAGAATGCAAGTGATAATATCATATGCGTATGTAATTTCAGTGTTCGACCTTCCGAGTTATTATATGCCTCTTGCAACCCTTCGCTCTGGGCCTTGCGATACATCGATTGCCTTAGATGGAAAAAACAAGCGGATAAAGGAACTGCTGGGAAAACTGTTTCGCACGCATTTAAAATTCCCTTTTCAAAATCCGTCATAAGCTTTTGCGGCATACAATGGTGAATTCCAAATTCTTTAGCAACGTCAATGATAGCACGAAGAACGGTTTCGTATTGACTTTCTCCTTTTGATGATAGTAATGCATAAACAAGAGGTGTCGCGATTACACGGGGTTCTTCTCCAGGAAGTTGTGCTCTAAGGATGTTGGATTTGTGGGGAAATTTTTTTTACGTCGTTGTCTAATAGATTTTTTTAAATTTTCGCGCTCGGGCAATTGACTCAACACTCCATCTGGAACGTCAGCAAGTTCACGTCGAAGAATCGCAGCCAGCGGTAATTCGAGACATTCTTCGGCAGCCCTCTTTATTCCATCTTTCTTTACCTCCGCCTCAGCTTCTTCCCGATTGGGAAGATGATTACTGTGAGGGGATTTGTCATAGCCTGCAATAGGCAACTTAAGTTACGCAAGAACGTTGAAAAAAGTGTGAAATTGTACCTTTAATTAATACTAATTCATCTCCATTGAATCTTGTAATGGCTCTTGCAGAACATTCTCCCAACTTTACTTTCTTACACTCCCAGTACGAGCGACCTTTCACAACATTTGCTCGGTAATAAATGTAACCATCCAGAATCAATTTTTTCCCAACAATTTTCATATCAGCTTCCATATTGTTGTTGATTTTAACTATTAATTTTGATAAACTTTTAACTTTTATAATTTAATTTTGAGTTTCGATAAACTTTGAACACATATAATTTGTCAGGTTGGTTTAAATGACACGAAATTTGTTGTCTAAAAACAATCGAATGTCTTAATGGACTACATTCATTACACTAGACAAAATTATATTGTTAGGAAATATATACTTTAGGAAAATATTATTAGGAAAATTGAATTAGGAAAATGACATTAGGAAAATTGTTTTAGGAAAAAGGTTATATTAGGAAAAACAGTTGTTAGGAATATATCATTAGGAAAAATGGATTAGGAAAAACGTCGGGGAACGTTAATGATGACATCACATGTCGTTTTTCTAATAAATCTTTTATTCGCTGTAATATATTTAAACTTGTACACTGTCCCTGTTCAAAAATGGAAAACTGAAAACTTTTCACTAGATTTATAAATTTGATTTTATCTTCACAACAAGATAAGTTACAATTGTAGACTCTTGGTTTCTTTTCATCAAGCACTACGTCAAGAACTGATTTCGTCTGCTAGCTTAGTAGACTCTCAGAGCCACCTTCTCCACGAACTTGTACTAAATTCTTAAGTCAGCGTCCTAGACAGTGCCCAGCTAATTCTTGGACAACCTGCTATACGAACTTGTACTGAATTTTCAATTCAGTATCCTAGACAAATTTTAGCCAGATTCTAGACTGTCTTCATAGCGAAGAAAATAAAGGGGAAAACTGTACATTAACATTTCGGGGCCAGGACAGTTTATTCAGAATAATTTTCCACGACAAATGCTATCTAGCTGTAGTCTATTTCTAGGAAGGCCACGACAAATTTCTACACGGGAAAGAGCAATACCTACGATACCGACGAAGTGTACGTTCATTGTAGAAAAAAAGTAAGCGTAATATAGGGACGTTCGACTTTTTAAAAGAAAGCTGAGGTACTAGAGTAACTTTTCTAGGAGATAAACACTTAATTAAAACAAAAATGTCCGTGTAAATCAACAAAGAGTGAAAAGTTAGCCATTACGCTCCGGTCTACACTACACAAAAACCTTGATACTAATACTTTAAGAATATTTTATCTGCTTCTGCAAATAATATTTCTACTAAGAGTTAGTATAATTAAAAATAACTTCACAATTTAAATCATCAAGACCAAAAATATACATTTAAATCCACTTTATCTCGCAATCATCAGCAAACAAAAACATGTGATGAGAATGTAATCCTTAAAGTCGTAGTAACTTTAAGAAAAAAAATGTTTTACGAAACATATAATAGGAAACAAGAACAAGAACACAAATAATGCACAACAATTGCAGACCGCCGCAAGCGAAGCGAGCCATTTGCGCGCGAAGCGCGCAACAACACACGGAGCGCGAAGCGCGACGATCAATATTCGCGCGCCCCGAGGCGCGCTGAAACTTGCGAGCGAAGCGAGCCCCCGCGCGAAGCGCGGATGAGAATGTGTCCGCGCTTGCGCGGACAGATTTTTTCTTTTACTCCTGGCTGCATCTTTTTACACATGAGAGTAGAGTAAAACCTACCAGAGTTGATAACAGACTCATTTTGAGTCCAAGACAGTTATATAAATTAGACCAATAATGTTAACCTGCTAAACTTTTACTTTTTATAAAAATTTATGGGACAAGACAAAAAATATATTTTAAAAAGTGTCTCTTTTGCATGTTGAGCTCCTAGAGGTTAGAGCTAGACAACGATAATAAAGTTTAGATGCAACAGGCAGCTATGAACTAGGGTTCAAGTCCTCACAGATGCACAGTGCATTCGTTCACGTAGCATATTTTTGCAGAGAAAAACTAATTTAAGTTAATAATTATTTATCGACAACCATATCGAAAGAATTATTATATAAAAAACACCTAACTCTAAACCAAAGAGTTTAATTGACTTCTAACAGATATTACTAATTGCTGATAAATTCGAAACCTTCATTTGTAATTAAAATTCTCAATCAGCGAAAATTCTAACATTTAAAAATTCATTGGATTGTTAATTTGGTGTTTTTGGAGTCCCTGATTAGGAATCCGATGTTAGGTTTTCTAAATTCAATATAGAGGATCCAATATGGAGGACGATTATTAAAAAATATTTGAATAATTACGTATTAAATACGAAAAGATTTAATACTTTCAAATTTAGCTTATCAATATAGTATACATTTTATGACTTGATTTACAAACAAGTTTTACATGTACATTTGAAAAAGATATAATAATAAAATAAAGACTTTAAAAATTTAATTTCAAGTGTCAATATCACTTATTCTACCATATTTGCTACAATAATGAATGCATAACAATGAAACTTGGTACAAACTTATATTATACCAAGTACATTATTTTGAACGGGGACCGAAATTACTTTGACTTGTCACTTTTAAATAAATTGCAATAATTTACTACGCCCCTGAGCCATTACCTTATTTGAATAAAAAGTTTTAGTCAAATCTATCGACATTTAAAATTTTGCCAAATTTTTGTCTGACATATTGGATAAACCATTATGTATTATGAAAATCTGACTTCAGAATCGTGATCAGCGACCCTAAAGTAAGAATTTTTGCGAATATAAGGTTAAGATGTCTTCTTGTTTGGGCCACTTTTTCAAAACATGTAGACACATCATCCACAAGAGATGGAGTTGTAATTGCAATTTTCAATATTATTAGTTTTTTTAATCAATTTAACTTAAGAGTTACTAACTAAATATTAAAATAATTCTAAATGAATTATATTTAACATTTCAAATTCAAATAAAGATATGTTGAATAATATCGTGGAAACAACAAATTCATCAGCCGAGTTATCAACGAGACACTAATGTAATATAGTAAAAACATACAATTTAATTAAATTAAAAATTTTATGTTTATTTCAGAAAACCACGATGGCGATGTAAACTAATAAACTTCAGTAATAATTGTATAGATTACGACGAAATTTGATTTAAATAAAAAACAACTTGTAACGAAATTAAAACAATGTTTATTTAAGGTAGTTCCTCTTTTCCCTTAAAAATAAATAAACTATTTACGGTGGAACTTTTTGAAAAATCGTTTATATGATTTGGTCAGTACCAACTCATATTAACAATTTCTAAAAATATGTCATTATAATAGTACATGTAACATTACTACAGTGATGTTATATTGGTGTTACGTGTTACTTGGATAATTAATGTTTTGTACCATTTAAATATCAAGTTATCCAAATAAGGGAAATTGCTAGATTAATAGAGGAGACTGAGGTAAACCCGCTCAAGCGATTTGACGCTTTAAACTAAACTTAAGACCTTATAATGTAGAGAAGATTTTCCAAAAAGTCCCAAAAAGGGCCTGATGTGTTAAATCAGTTTTAAAAGGTTATGTACAGTCACGATTTTCAAAAAATCGACTTTTTGCATTTTCTGGAATCTGCAACAGGAGTGGAAGACTTACTATATTGTCCTTGAATAGATGATTCAATGTAAGCTTAAAAAAAAATTTTAACTCAATGAGTTGCTCACGAAGTCCGATAACACAGTGTTTTGCGTATTCAGTAAATTTAATTTGCGATGCCGCATTTAATTTGAAATTTTATAAAATCTCTATTTTCAATGAATTTAATATTTAATTAAAAAATTTAAAGAACTTAGATTTCTGAAAAATTTTTTGTTTAAATTCTTCTGAAATTAGTTAAATTTCTTAAATATATTTAATTATTAAAAATAATAAATTTACAGAAGAATTTTAGTTAAAAACACTAAACAAATTGAATTTTGAAGAAGAATACAAATGGTTGCAAAAATTTAATTATTTTCAAAAATTTTAATAAAATTCTACACAAATATTTAATTATTTTCAAAAATAATATATTAACTTCATTGAAATTCTATTAAATACAAATTTTTTATAAATTTCTTCCCAATAGAATTAATTCAATTATTTTCTTGAATAATAAAATTCATTTTAGGAATTCAAATACTTTTTTTAAATAATAAACCGCATCACAAAATTTCAATTATTGCTAATACAATTTTAATTGAATTCAATAAATTATTTTTTTTGTATTTAAATAATTAAATTCTCATAAAATTGTCTAATAAAAATTAATTCAATTATGACTATTAGTTAAAGACTAAAATAATTTAATTTTAAAAAAAAAATTACAGTAGAAATTCAATTATTTAAAAAAATAAAATTCTTCACAAAAATTCAATTATGTTAAAAAATTTTAATAATATTCTTGGCAAACTTTTAATTAGGGTAAGTCCGGGGGAGATGGCCATATGGGAGAGATGGCCAGTTCGAATATTTTACAGAATTTGTAAAGAAATATCACTTTTTATGGGTTATTCTTCAACCTTTTGTGATTAATAATAAATCTAAACAATAATTTGATGAAAAATAATGAAGCTGTAAGTGTAACCCTTGTTTATTTTTTTTGCATGGGTCCAAAATAATTTGAAAATTTCAGATTTCTTGTTGCTATATTGTTATTTGTTAACATAATTTTTAAATTTAAGTTTTATTGAGTAGTGTATAACCTACGCTTCGATATAAACGAAAAATGAAAGGAAAAATTATTTTATTTATTTAATATTTTGATGTTTACTTTTATCATGAATTTTTGGGTAAGATGGCCATTAATGACTTTTATTTAAAATTTTTTTATGTTAATGTTAGATACTTGAGAAATATTAAAGAAAAGCAAATTAAAAATGCCTGAGAACAAAATAATTGATCTAATTGACACCAGAGATGGAGATTTATTTGTAGGTTGTGCTAAAAGTTACAACCGAACGACATTAATTGAAGATTGAATTCAATGCAGAATTTGACACTTGTGGCTACATGAAAACTGCTCTGAACCCCATGAAAAATTTTTAAAATGCGACCAGAAAAAGAGGAAAGTGATGTGAATGATTAAAAATTAAATTTAAGATAAAAGCCAAAAATTATAGGTAGTGGCCATCTCACCCGGACATTCCAGAGAAATGGCCAAATGCACTTTTTCGAAAATGTAAATTTTAAGATTGTTGCAATGAAAATATTTTATTTTATGTTTCTTTATTTTCAAGTTAAGTGTTCAATGTTTAATTATCAATAAAAGTTTAGACAAAAAAAGCTTTTTTATAAATTTTACACTACTTTAAAAAAACTATGGCCATCTCCCCCGGACTTACCCTATATTTACAAATAGTAAAATTCTTTTCAAAAATTCAATTATTTTCAAACATTTTAATAATATTCTTGGCAAACTTTCAATTATTTTGAAAAAATTTCCAAAAGAATTCAATTATTTAAAAGAAATTTGAATAAAATTCTACGCAAACATTTAATTATATTTATAAATAACAAAAACTTCCCAGAAATTCAAATATTTTTTAATAATTTAAATTTAATACAAATTTTTTATAAATTTCTTCACATAATAAAGACTTAAAAAACTTTCATGTATGAACTAGTATTTCAGATTTTTGGACAAGCCATGGAAATGCAATTTTAATTTTAATCACCCATGTATTTCTACGTTACATCCACATATAAAAATAATTTTCTGTTCCTGTGTAAGGTTTTAAAATTTTTGAAAATAATTTAGCCTAACTTTTCAAATGTTTTGCGAAAAAATTGCAAAAATAATCAACTTGTAGAATACCTAAATTTTTTATTACTACTGCATTGCGTCAAACGATAAGATTGTGTAAAACCAAGCAACAGACATTTTCATTCAGTTGACAGCTAAGTAATTCGAATGTACTTCGTTTTTTGGTGAGTGAAAACTGTTATTAATTATTTTCACCTTTATCGATAATCGGTTGGGTCGTTTTTGAAAAACCGTACTTTTTTAATTTTTAAAGAGGTTAATCAACATGTTTTTGCAAAAAAAATACATATAATAATAATAAATAATAATAATAATATAATAAAACAAATAATAATATGGTATTGAATCGAAATTTTAAACTCGTTAAAGTGATATCAAGTAAAAGAAAACAAGGCAAGTTTTTAAGCTACCAAAGAACAATATAGGGTAAATGTGGGTATTATCGAGGAATTTTATATACGTCATACATCCAAGTGGTTTAAAAATTATAAATAAATGTATATGGCTTTGTTTTTTTTAAATGAATATTTATCTTTCTTTTCTTTAAAAAAAAAATTGCCAATGTTATAGAAAATAGTTTAATCGTTAAATAAATGATTATAAATAGAAGACTCCTTTGCTTGTAATTTCGCGGGACTTGTAATGGCTTGAGGGTATTTTCGCGTGTCAAATATCGCGGATGAGTGTATTATCGCGTGGTAAATATCGCGGATAATTTATTTATTGCTTTTTGGATTTTTGTAATAGTTACTTAATTAAAATGTAGTAAATGTAAAAAATTAAAAGGAATAATAATATAGTTTTTAAAAATAGAAATATAAATATCGCAAGAACTTGAATTAAACAAAATTTTAAGCATTACACTGAGAAAAATAGAGTTTGAAAAACTGGGAGTCAATATTGAAAAAACTGGACTCAGTCCAGTAAAAGTACATTAATTCATTTCCATCAAGCATCTTAGGGTGTTGCGTATAGTGTATAGAGGGCCTTAGTTCCAAATGTCACTGTAAAGAGCATTGAAACACAGGCGAAGATTATAAGGCGCGCTGCAGTGTGCATAGTAGAGAAACTGGACTCAGTCCCCTACTTCGAAATTTTCACAATGAGGGAACGCAGGCGCGGAACCTGTCAAAATAAATGGCCGACGCGACGCGAAACGAGTGTTTCCTTTTATTCACTTCGTCAATTTTATATAAAAAAAACAATAACCAATCATTAAAAAAAAGAAAAATATGTTAAATGCACTCTTTATATATTCATATTCCTTAATTCACAAGTTTTATTCTTCCCACATCTTCATACTTACAATTAACAACTAAATGCATCGGAAAATCTTACAATCATACGGGATTGAACATCTACCTAACCATACAACTAAATATACGCATAATTATAAATCGCACGCTTTTACATTAAGCCTCTCGGCTACGCAATCATACATAATCATACATCCCTTACCAATGAAATAAATTAGATCATGCGTGGATTTTAATTGACCTTGAATGAAATGTATAATTAATTATTCTCACAGCAATATTTAATAATTTAATGAACTTAACTGCACTGCATAATAGTTGAGAGTAGTAAGAGTAAGTGAAACGGTAAGATAAGTGAACGACCATTAGTGTGAGAGAGAGAGAGAGAGAGAGAGAGAATAACTTGTGGTTTTCGAGTAGGTATCTACTTTATGTGCACGGCGTTCATTTTTCGAAAGAACTGGACTGAGTACTATTTGTTCAATATTCTCTTCTATTATTGACTTGTGTTTTGTACACTGCCGCGTTCTTTTAACAATTACATGAGAAAGTAATTTCTCATTCCAATTTTTTATACTCTTATTCCCTCTTAGACTATATAAACAGTCTTGTTTAAGCTGATGAATGGGATAACTTGTGTTGAGTCCCAAACTGTTCAGCTATGAAACTTCTAATACTATAGTGTGTACCTGTCACATATTATTCTATAAAGGAGTACTACACTGACTGCATAAATCATTTTTCCATTTTTCTCCGTGTATAATAAATGGACGAATTCAATAGTAAACTAGTATCACAAGAAGAAAGATACTTGGTTTTATTATAATAATTTAATTAGTCTCATAATATAAAATAATACTCTGATAAAATATTCTAAAGCAATTATTATCAAATATTTCTAACGTATAGTCAATGCTCATTTGACACTTTTGCTCCTTTTTTATAGCTATTAAAAATTCTTTCCTTAAATATACAGATCTCACTTACTTTAATTTTTTTATCTTTTCCATTACTCTTTATTTTCTTGCTTGTATTTTGTAACTGTTATAAGATTTACTAAAATTCTGAACGTTCAAATAAACGAAATTTTTATTGTGTCTAAATGTGTTTAACAGTTACTGTGCAAAGTGG